TATCATTTCCTTGCTTTCGTTTTGAAGCCAATTTGTGTGGGGGTGTTGCTATTCCTAAGGTTTCAGTTTAAATAATGTTGTTGTTGTTGATGATGATGATAAAGTGATTTGTAGACTATTAGCTGCTGGCTCAGGATGCATGGCACATACTAAAATGAGGCTGCATTTTAAGCTGCATGTTAAGCCATATTTTAATTAACTGTTTGTTTGTTGTTTTTCTATTACGTTTTATTGTAATTCATATTTGGTGTTAGCCGCCCTGAGCCCAGTCCTGGCTAGGGAGGGCGGGGTATAAATGAAAATTTACTACCACTACTACTACTACTATTATTATTATTTTGCTTCCATGAACTGGGTCTGTAACACAACCGGCTATTGGCTAGATTGCTCTGTCTGTTTGTCTGTCTCTGAATTCTTTCCATCCTGCATTAGCAACATTCTTTTCTTTTTAACCTGAGGACATATGCCTTGTCTTTGATAGCCAGACTCACCCTGCTGTCACCATTTTAAAGCATTAATATAAGCAAGAATACAAATAAAGTTATATGAACTCTTGTCAGGTGTTTCCCACTTTTGTCAGTTTGTACTGGGTTAAACCACAGAGCCTAGGGCTTGCCGATCAGAAGGTCGGTGGTTTGAATCCCTGCAACGGGGTGAGCTCCCATTGCTCGGTCCCAGCTCCTGCCAACCTAGCAGTTCGAAAGCACAAAGTGCAAGTAGATAAATAGGTACCACTCCAGTGGGAAGATAAACGGCGTTTCCGTGTGCTGTTCTGGTTCACCAGAAGCGGCTTAGTCATGCTGGCCACATGACCCGGAAGCTGTACGCCGGCTCCCTCGGCCAATAAAGCGAGATGAGCGCCGCAACCCCAGAGTCTTCCGCGACTGGACCTAATGGTCAGGGGTCCCTTTACCTTTTACTGGGTCACTAGCAAGACTGTAGTCTGTACTTTCCTATTTTAAAACATAGCTCCTGGTGGCCATTTCACATAAAACTGACAGTTCATTATATGGAGTGGAGCAAAACTATGTACTCGTGATTGCCACTCTGCACAGCAAGTGGGGATGCTACCAAATTTTGTACATACTGGAATTAGTTAGCAGATTCCCCATCTTGGACAGATTCCTCAACAAATTGGGTATGGAATCTGGTGGTGGTTCCAGAAAATCCCCTGGAAGGGAAAGAAGCACACATGCTTTTGGGCTTTCTTTGTATAAGAGACTTTGTCCATATGGAAAGATCTCTTGTGATGATTCAGGTCAAGGATACCAGCCAGTCCTAAGCTAAGCATAAGGCTTCCGTACATTAGAAAAATGGCCAGCAGCTGTTCTGAGCTGCACTTTTGTTCTGGAATCTGAAATGATTATTTGTCAGACTCTGGATGGAAAAATTCCCATTGTCCTAGTGAACTAACTTGAGTGGAACAGAACAGTTCCACTCACATTTAGTTGAAGTGATTTGAGGGCATATGGGCACACTTATACAATGTCCAAATTTCCATAACTCTTTCACCTCAACATGGGTAATGGAAAATGGGCTTATATTTGTGTAAATGCCGGATTTGCATGTCAGTTCCTACATACAGCAGTAATTTCATGTGTGGGTCTCACTGAACGTATTGGAATTGCTAGATTTGCCAACCTGTGAACTGGCTACAACACACTCTACATTTGTTCCTTTTCCCCAAGCTAGTTAAACAATGCATTTTTACTTGGCTCAAGTTGCCATTGCACAACGTCGAACAACCTCATACGCTCACAGTGGAAAGACCTTATCTGGAGGATGATGTTCAGTTCCAGGAATTACAATTTAAGAAGGATGTTGACAAACTGGAAAGGATTCTGGGCAGAGTTACGAGGATAATAAAAGGACTTAGAGACAAACCATAGGAGCAAACATTACACAAACTTGGTATGTTTTGCCTACTGAAAAGGACTTTGGGGAGAAACCAGTTTATAGCTTTCAAAATGTTTATAAGGGTGTCAGAAAGATGGAGAAACAGTTGTTTGTCATGCCCACTTATCATGACTAATGGTAGGATAAGAAGCAGGGCCCCTAATCTAGAGAACACCCATACAATCAGCAAGAGATTTTTTTACGCCCATGTAACACTGTGAATGGCTTTGTAAATTCCTCTTGTGGAATTTGTTTGGGAAATAAAGGGAAACACACCACTCACATACTGTACATCCATGTAATAGGCATAAAAGGGCTTGCGGAATTACGGTCATCATCCTGGATTAAAATGCTACCAAGAGGATAAGGACTGCAATCCTATGCATACTTGTTGGGCCAAGGAGTAAGATTAGGTAGCTGGAACTTCTGGGCTTTATAATAATGAGTACACATGCATGAGACAAGAAGCAAGAAACATAGAAATCTGCCACTTTCTTTAGATCTGTTAACAGCTTTGGACATTTTTTTTTTTTTTTTTTTGGTCCTAAAATGTAGAAAGTTAGTGGAGGTTGGGGCAGGAAAATTGGAGCCCCCATTTGCTAAAAGCTGCTGTCTAAAATTACCGTTCAAGATGGGACTGGATGGCCCAGTAAGTCTGGTCTTACTTAAAAAGTTAAATGAACTTGCATTTGAGTGTAGCAGGTGTTGCTGACCCTCTGAAGTACTATATAGTTTTGATGTATTAGAATGAAATGGGATTTTGATATTAATATATGAACATGAAAGCTTCAGAACCCTCTGGATCAGACCAAAGGTGTATCTAGTTCAGAATCCTGATGGTTCGTTTTATTGTTTAATTTTTACCAGCTCCTCTCTTCCACTTTGCCATGTATGAGCTGCTGCTGTTTCACTTGATATTTATGCAACAGCAATTGGAACCTTGTTTTTGAAGAGCAGGGGATTAAGGGGGCAGCATGTCTTATTTTATCAATAACTCTGAATTTGTCCAATGGGAGTGACATGCTGCAGGAAGAAGGTATGACAATCAGCTATGAGTTAAATGCAAGAGGGAGAAACACAGTCCCTTGCATAAAAAACCTGACATTTTCATTTGCTTCTGGCTTTCCATGAAACTACATCTAGACAAGACATCAGCATTACCCAGCCTCAAGGACATCTTGATATGCCAAAGACAGTCTGTTGCTTACATAGCATATCTGTCTCTTCTTCCCTCTTTACTTGCTTCTCTTTATTACCACAATAGTCAAGGACAACAGAGGGAACACTTAAAAAAATTATTATACACCATCAGTGTGTGTGGTGTTTATACAGGGGAAACAAATGTCATTTTTGCTATTAAGGAGGCCAGGAAAATAATGTGCCTTTACATTAAAGTCCTGTGGAAATGCATGAAAAACACATGGTTCTGATCCAACGCATTATTACAGCCACTCTTTTCCTCAATTCTAGTATGTTTCAGCAGCGAAAGAAAGGCTATGCCACCTTAAAAGACTTTTCAAATGTACTTTCAGCAAGAGCTTTTATAGGTAACTTCCTCTTTAAATACTCGTGAAGGATAATTCCAGGGAAACAGACCCTTCCCTCTATTAGGTCTGGTGAAGAAGTTTCTCTATAACATCAATTTCTTGTCACATTTCAGTAGGGCTTTAATATAAAGGTGTATTATTTCTCTAACAGCAACATATCTTGCCTACGTAAATCTGAAAATCCATGCATAGCGATGGTGGATCACAATAACAGTGTGTTCCTTTGAGTGCTTCCCCTCACCTGAGACCTTGAAGATTTTGAATCAGGTATAGCAAGCCTGTCATGCTTTGCTGACACGCTGTTGAACTGCCTCCCCGCTGAAGCAGGGGCTGCAAGACTGCCTGTCACATTGCACATTTCCTTGAAAGTTGTTCCCAGTGAACTCACGCTGACTTCCAAGTCAAAATGTGAGGGATGGGCCCCTGACCTTCAGAGTCTTGAAATCCAGTTACATAGATGTATTTGTTCAGATTGCTTTAATGCACACTTGAGCAATTGCTCTCGATGTCAGGGGGAGCTTTCTTCCGAGTAAACAGGCACAGCCCAAGATTGGTAAGCCACGCTGCCCTTAAAGGCTCAGGGTTTGGCAACATTTAAAAGCAATTTGTCATCATATAAAAACTGCTTAAATTATGTCAGTGGAGAGAGACTGGCCCTTTTCCTTTGGTGATCCCTCTCCCACTGTTTTTATAAGGCTATGAGAGGGCAGTTTGCCTAAAATTGGGGAGAGGAGGGGTGTGTGTAGGTCCATGAATTTCTACCCATAATTCCAGCCATGGGCCTAGCCAGGAGTTTTGTTAGTGGGGCAGACTTTTGTTGGGGAGGGGGGCAGAACCTCAGATTTGTATTGATTTTGATAGATTGGGGGGGGGGCAGCTGCACCCTCTTGGCTATGCCCGTGTTTCCAGCCAGGGGTGCCAACTTGAATAAAATATTGGGGAAGGGGCAGGTAAGCCCCACCCTGAATAACTGATCAGAAGACGTGGCACATGCATGCCATTTGAATGGCAATGCCCATCAACTCCTGCACCAGGCTACTAAGTAGGAGCTGCCTTATAGGGAGTCACCACTGGTGCTTCTAGGGTCTTCACTGACTGGCAGATCTGCAGGCAGGGGTCCCTCCCAGCCCCACCAGGGCGTGCCTGAGACTGGACCCGGGAACTTCCTTACGCAAAGCAGGCACTCTACCACTGAGCCACACAGCCTCTCCCAAGTGTCCGGGCAGAGTTTGTATAAGGACTTCGGTTGCGCCCAGTATCTCCGTCTCAACAGCAATCCTCTAGAGCCGCGCAGCTAGCGTTATGCGATCCACGTCTCCTCCCTCCGTTGCTCTGGTCCTGCATCCAAGGCGAGACGCTTGAAGAGCGGAGGCGGCGGGGGGCGCATCTTAGTGAGAATGCCTGAATCCGGGAAGAAAGCCCAAGCTGGCAGCTGGCAGGGCTGGCGTGGAAAGAAGGAATTGGGGGTTGTGTAGGGAGTCACGCCGGCCCCGTCACTCGAATGAAACGCAGAGGAGGCCCACGCGAAGGGAGGGGCAGCCCGCGCTCGGGCGCCGCGCAGAACCCGAGTGAAGGGGGGGTGTTGTGGGGGGGGCGGTCACGTGACTCGCCGGCGAGCTGGATGTGCACGTGCATCTTGGCGCTGTGGAAGTGGGGCGGCGAGGAGGAGAGCCTCCCGAGAGGTCACGTGACCCCTCCCGCCGGCTGACTCGCCCCCCCCGCCGCCCGCCCCGCGCTGCAGAGACGCGCCGGCGAGCAGCTGCCTGGAAGGGCTTCTCCGCCACTGCAGCAGCGGAGCTGGCAGGGAAGGAGCGCAGGCAGAGGCGGATCGATCGCCGTCTCCCCGAGACTTCCATGGCTGCGCCCGCCTCCCCTTCCTCCTCCTCCTCCTCCTCCTCGTGAGCCTCTTTCTCTCTCTCTCCGGGCCACGTCCTTGGAAGCGCAGCGGAGGCAGCATGTGGAGAGGGTAGGTCGGGAGCCCTCCTGCGGGGACCCGTTTCCAGCCGGGATGCGGAGGCAGGGAGAGGCGGCCGTGGCACTTTCCCTGGCCTTTTGTCCTCTGTCTGTTTCATCTGCACCTCGGGGAAGGTGCCGCTTGCTTTTGCAGCCCGGTCCTGCTGCTCCTGGGAAGGGAAGGAGCGGCGGGAGGCAGCGGGGGAAAGTGGCGGGATCCAGGAGGGAGGGGAGAGAGAGACGGGGTCCCGAGCGCTGGCGCCGCCGCCTGAGGGAAGACGCGGCTGTCTGGGCGGGCGGCGAGGTGATTCCCTGGACCTTCCGGGTGCCGTCGAGGCTCCGCGCGGCCTCCCTCCCGCTCGCCTTCCCCCGTTGCCGGTCGCAAACTTTCTCCCGGACGCTTGGGATGCCGCTGCCCGAAACAAGGCAATGCCGTCGGGTGCGGGTTGCCGTCTAGTTCCCGCAACGCCGGAGAGCGTTAATAACCCTGTCTCCAGAAGTTTTAGCGTCCAAACTCCGTTTTAAAAACCCAGCCTCCTTCAGCTTCCCGCCAGCCCTGCAAGGTAGGCTCCTGTCACCCCCATTTTACAGACAGAGGCTCCCGTTTCCTTTGCATGCAATGCGGTCCCACAGCTAGTTTGGGAAGTGGTGTAGGCAGGACACAAGCCGCACATCATTTCGGTTCCTAATACTACATGCCCCACCCCATAAAAAAAACAAAACAATCCAGTTTCAAACCGAATTGAGAAAAACAAACGACCTGACCGCATTTTAAGCAGGTAGTGTGTACACAGCCAAGGGAGAAAGAACTGTCCCAGGTGGAACCTTGACTGACCTGTACTTGGAATAACTTCATGTTTTGCCACTAAGGGCAGATATACAGGGCAGAGGATGGGTTTAAGATGCAGGGCAGCACAGGTAGCCTGAACATTAGGGAAATGTTTCTTATGAGCCTCCAGTTTGATGAAATTCCTAGTTAGATGTGCTACCTATATTCCCCTGAGGGCATTTCCACTCATTTAAGCACTAAAACCAACCCACAGTGTGAATAGAAAGCCTAAATTGGCTGGGATATACGTTGGATTCCTCTTTTGTGTTTTCTCATAAATTCACAAAGTTGGAAAGCAGAACAACTGGAACATCTTAGAGGGTCAAAATCACCCTCTAAGTGCCAGTGTGTAGCAATAGACTCAGTCCCCAGGATTTTATTGGAATTCTTAGGGGCTCTGTTCAAGAACAGTTTGGTACTCTCTTGGTGTTTGGCTTGAGAGGAGGACCATGAGTTTTACAATACACAGTAAGCTGTTTGCTCCTGGGAAGAAACAGCTTTGGCACCCCCATGCCCTCATGCTCAGGATTGCAAAGGGAGGGTTAAAGTAAGTGATTTTGCTTCTAGGAAGGAAATGGAAATTCTGAAAATCCAGTTCTTCATTTTGGATGCCAGTGGCTTGTCTGATCGCTGCTGATGAATAGGGGACAGTGACCTCAGGTTTGCTGCAGAAATATTAGCCACAGAGAAGGGAATTGCATCCCCAACCCCCATGCTGAAAAGTTTTCTGGCTGGCAAAAGGATATAAATGAGGCACATCAAAACCCTACAGTGACCTTGGTTTAATTGTTGACATGCTGTCAAAGTCTCTAGGACATCAGAGATGCTGCCTGCATCATGTGGCAACCAGATACTGTGGGCTCTCGTGGCAAGGCTTATTTGAGGAATTCTGTGCAAGGGGATCCAGTCTGAAGCAGTAGCTATTAAGAAGCATGGTAATTTCAAACTTTTGGGTACATTTGTTGCAAAGTGTGCACATTTTACCTGTGCCTGGAAAAAAATATGCAGGTCTACATCAAAATTTGTCTAGGCATCCATCCATTCATTTTTGCACCACATGCTAGCTTTAGTTAAGGATGTCAAAGGAGACTAGAGAAACTCTGGCCTGTGCCTTTCCTTCTTGCAACCTCCCCTGCACAACAATTATGCTTAAAAAGCAGGTTCCATAGTTGTCAATGGGAGCTTACTTTTAAGCCTATTTGCTGCAGGGGGTGATTTTCGATGTATGTCTCATAGGTGAGGAGGGAAAAGTTAACCTTTTGTTCCTGCATGTTGTGATCCCCCCCCCATTTTTTTCCACCCCTGCTGCACAGCAATTAGGCTAGGGGAAAAACAGCTTTGCACTGGTGCAGAAGATTCCTATTTTTGTTCTAAGTTTTAGAATCAAATTGGGGGGGTGTATATGACATCTGCGCAAGACAGGCTCTTGATCTGTAAAAGCAGAAGTTTGAGGAATAACATGATTTGCTAATTAAAGTACAGCAGTGAGCCCCCGAAAACAAACCTGTCAGCATTGTTCCCGAACTAATAGTTGGTGCTACTGTAATACAATCCTGTATTCAGAAGGCCACAGTGAAACTTTGTCAGTTTGTATAGCAAACCTTATGATGCTGTAGTTTTCCAGCTACTAACTACCTCTCCACATTAGTAAAAGAAGGCAAGACTTTGTACAGTGAAACATAGATGGCATCTATTCTGGAGTGCAAGGATTAGTAGAATGGCAAAGAGCAGTCTTATCCTTGCATCGGCAAGGGAATATTTTTGTTCTCTTGGTGACAGAGCATATTCCTAGCAGATTTGGGAGTGGGGTGGGGATGATGAGAATCATTGGGACACGCTCTGATGTCTGTGCTCCCTGCAGATTTGTGCTGAAAGTGTCCCACAGGCTTTTCGTACAGGAAACAGCCCTGTCTGATCAGTTCTGCAGGAAACCGCCAGGGCCTCCTGTTAAAAATGCAGATCTTGCATGTTTACACCCACCCTGCTTCATTTTGGCAGAATCTGACTTAATACTTCCCATTGTGAAGACACTTGATGATATGCATTGGGCTCCTGAACTAGATTTGCAGATTTGCCACATCCAGCTTAGGGTTGCTACCTGAAGGGCTCCCAAACAGAGACTGCATTTGTGAAACAATTAAGAGAACAACATTATTACTTGTGTCAGAACATTGACAGCACTTCTGTCCTTTTAAACAATGTGGCAGATGTAATACACTTAGGGAGAATCGTCTTCAAAGGGAAGATGTACTGTATCTTAAAACTTAATCAGGGACAGTTCATTGAGATAAGCAGAAGGGGGCAATTCTAATCCAGTCTAACAGTAGCCACAGCACAGTGTGTGAGAATCTGTGTCCTCCTCTTGATGTCCATAGTTTCCAACTGGTCAGCCAGTTCAAACAACGTGTGATAAATGAGTGGGGCAGAAATAGGAGTAAAATGACAAGCTGCCATCCATGGGCATTTATCCGGAGATATGACACATGTTGCATGGTGGGTTTGCAGCTGAGAGGCAGCACAGCAGGATGGAAGAGAGATATAATAATAATAATAATAATAATAATAATAATAATAATAATTTATTTGTATTCCACCCTCCCTGGCCGAGGCCAGGCTCAGAGCGGCTAACATCATAAAAACAACACAAAAGATGGGGATGGGCTTGAAGGAAGATGGGGGGGGGGGGAATCATCAGAAAGGGAAGAGAAGAAGCGAAAACTTGTTCCCGAAAGAATAAGAACACTTCTTGAAAGTATTGCTGGGGCTGCTCCTTTTTTAGATAAAGAGCCATTTACTCCCATGTGAGCTGGGAAAGCTGCTCATAAAGTTTGCACTGGGTTCTCATACATATGTTACAGGATAAAATCTTCTTCAGCTTTCCACCTTAACCTGAAAGAGAGACCACAACTTTGGGTTTTATGAGCACCTGAGGAAAATCTGTCTTTAGAAGACGCTTGCAATGAGGCAAATGCTTTCTTGCTCCCCACCCGCCTTTCTTGAGTTTGTTAGAAAGTGTTCCTTCCAAAATAAAAACTCATCATTTGCACGTTTTGTGAAGCAGTGCCTGAATTCTATTTGAGAGAACAGACATGTTGCTGCCAACAACTGTTGGAGGGGGACAGGAGGAGAAGGAGAGAGCAGCCGCTTTCTACCATTTTAAAGCAACTCCTAAGTATTTCCAGAGAGCTGGCAGTGGACTTCATGTGGGGTGAGAAGAAAGGCTTTTGATATGCAGTACCCCTTTCCTAGCTTTGCTGTAGGAAATGCTTTGGACCTTAGCTATTTTGTTCGGCTGGCAGTTTCCTTCACTGGAAAACTGTTGCTGACTGAAGCCCTTTCAAACTAGGCTAGCCCAATTATGTTGTGCTTCGCCTTGCTTCTTTTTGTGAATAATGTTTTTGTACTTTTGTATCTTTAAAGGGTGTATGTCAAACGTGAATCAAGTTTAAAAGTGCTTTGTTGCCTATTTGGCAAAAAGGCCCTTTTAAATAGCCTCTGGGTTCACAATAAAATGACGTATGGAAGGAAAGCAGTAGTCATTCTTGGCAGTTTGAGCCAGGAATTAGGAATCTACTCCGTAGAGCAGGGATGAGGAACTTCTGAGCTGTGGATAGACTCTGACTGCCCATCAGCCCCCAGCCAGTGTGGTTAATGGTCAGGGGATGGTGGGAATTGTAGTCCAGCAAGAAGATCAAACCTCTCCATTCTGAAGGAAATCAGCCCTGAGTGCTCACTGTAAGGACAGATCGTGAAGCTGAGGCTCCAATACTTTGGCCACCTCATGAGAAGAGAAGACTCCCTGGAAAAGACCCTGATGTTGGGAAAGATGGAGGCTACAAGGAGAAAGGGGACGACAGAGGACGAGATGGTTGGACAGTGTTCTCAAAGCTACGAATGTGAGTTTGACCAAACTGCGGGAGGCACTGGAAGACAGAAGTGCCTGGCGTGCTCTGGTCCATGGGGTCATGAAGAGTCGGACACGACTAAGCAACTAAACAACAAAACATTAGGAGAGCCATGGGCTCCCCATCCCTGGAGTAGGGAATTGCTGCCGCATGAGACACAAGGCTGAAACATAGGTGTATCCAACCTACAACACTGGTAGGAGAAACAGAAATGAGGCAGAATGCCCTGTAGGGCATTTGAACTTGAACCTAGGATTCCTAGGCATGTCATCCAACCTTACTGTGGACTAGCTGCATGATTTTGGCCGTGCTTCATTGTAAACTCTGTTGTTCCATCCTAAAACTGAAATAATGATTACCTCAAGGGTCTTTACAAAAGGGATAATGGTTTTCCTTATTTTAGCATTGAGTTTGCTGACTGAGCGTGTCTGGTATCTGGGAGCCACACTTTTCTGCTGGTTCTTCTCTAGTTGTCCAGAGGGCAAGACAAGGGTGTACCAGAATCATGTGGCCTCATCCAAAGTGGGGACTATTGTAGGAAGAAACCATTGCAATGCTTCTTTGGTGCCTTTCTCCTCACTTCTATTTCTGTTTGCCTTTAACGCAGCAGCATTAGACTTTGCATGGGGAAACCTGCCTGGATGAAGGCAATATTGCAGGGGTTTTAGAACGAAGGATAATTAGGTGCCTGACCCAGTTTATCAGCATTGCCTCCTTCTTCCTCAGCCCCCACAACTCAGCATGCTCCATTCAGGAGGATCCTTCAGAAGGGCTGGCAGGGGAGGAAGGAGCAAAAAAATTACATTTTGCTGAGCACTCTGCTTCTTCCGGCACTTCTTTGGAATCCAAGTCAACAAGTTTACTGAAAGATGTTTTAAAGTTTTTATTGTTCTGTCTCTTGCTGTTTGCTGCCCTGGGCTCCTTTGGGGGGGGGAAGTGTGGGATGAAAATGAATTAATTAATAACCCCATAAGAGAAGTTTGGGGGGCAACAGTTGGCAAGCTACCTTTGCTCCTTTGTCTTTGGCACCATCATGCCTTGTTTCCACAGAGTTATACTCTTGCCAATTTTGCCGTACATGTTCTAAATTTCCCATTGGAATAATCTCGGTTCTTTTAGTTTTCAGTTATGATAGCATCCTGTGAAACCATACATTCCAATAAAAAGTTGTGTGTTACATCTATATTTTTAAAATATCCTGATTGTTGATCAGGGTTAAACCTAGCGTGGGGGTAAGACTGGCCTAGTTTTCACTAAACTGGTAAACCAGAGTTTAGTCTATACCACTTCAGATTACAGTTAGGTAATTGCACGATCAAGTGCTCCTTCATACAAAAAAGTCCCCAGAATATAGAAAACTAGATGTAAGGGAGAAGGTTGGACTAGAATCTCTCTTTTCAACATACGGTTTTCTACATGCAAACAATTTGAACCCCCATCTGCAGGTTGGTTCAAGATGGTTCAGAGCAGGTTTATTTGTTCATTAAGAGTTAAATATTTGCACCCTAATTCTGCTGCTGTGTAAACAGTTAGTGCCTCATTGGTAGTTTCCAGATGATTTGTTTGTTGAGCATCTGCCCTGATTTATTTGCAGAGTTTTCAGGGAGGTTAGATGAACTTAGCAATTTATTAAACATTGATTCTGATTTATTTGCAGGGAGGTTAGATGACATTGTGTCAAACAGGTGTTATCTCACACTTTCCAGTGCATTTCACGGTCAATAAGCTTATTGCAAAAGGCCCAGATTTTTAAGGAAATGGTTTGGTTGTGAAAGAGCACCAAATGCACTTTTAAGTGTGCAACCTATATTTGCTGGTATGTGATTGAATCCCACCTAAAGATAGTGACCGTCTCAATGTGCCCCATGAATATTCCCCTTGTGCCTGATCCAAAGCATACTTTCCAAATATGTGGCTTCTCTCTGTGTCAGCATTCATCCTTCACTGTTTCTAACAGACTTGCACTTTTTTTTACCAATCTCCCCGCATACTTCCCCTTTTTTAACCTGATGTTTCCAGCAGTTCCTGGTTTATTTGATTTGCAGGGTGAGAGAGAGAAAAGAAGAGAACAAATGGACTTGTTGTCACTGCTCAGTTATTATCCCCACTCCCTCATTTTTAGCTCTGCTTTGCAGATGCATGCCAAAGCAGAATTGTCCAAATGTGAACTTGAGATGGAAGACTTAGAACAGGGGTCAGCAAACTTTGCTACCAGCAAGCTGGCTCACTGTCCCTCAAATCTTCTGGCGGGCCGGACCACACACACACACACACACACACACACGCATGCATGCTCGTGTGCACACACATACCGGCAGAGGGGGGCTTTTCTCTCTCCCCTAGCCTCTCCCCCTCCCCCTGCTTTCTTAACTCCTCTGGTTAGCCGGCGGCAGCTGAGAGCCAGCAGTGGTGGTGGCACCTCTTGTTTCTGGTCCATGGCCGCAACGCTGGGCAATCCGATGCCTCGCCGCCCGCATGCTGAAGAAACCTGGCGCGGCTTCAGATTGGCCAGCGTTGCTGCCCGCCCAGAGGCGCCCCTGGCTTCAGATTGGCTGTGGGAGCTTCTTGGAGCCAATCAGAAGCCGCCTGCTCACCCATTGTGGAAGGCAGTCCCCACGCAGCTATGCCACGCCAGTTTAGCATGGAGACTGGGCAGGTGGGTGGCAGGGTCCTCGGGCCGGACTAAAGAGCCCCTTGGGCCTTATCCAGCCCGCGGACCTTAGTTTCCTGACCCCTGGGTTAGAAAGTGCATGAGATGAGACACAGGTTGAAGCAGGGAACAAAGTCTGTTAGGATTGGGGAAGGGTGCAGAGAGACCTTACCTGCCTTTTGAAAGCTGCAGTTCAAAAATGCTATTTTTTGTAATATGAAGATCTGCAATTCTGCTTCATAATTTATCAACTTGGCTGTAAATAAGAGAGGTGGGCTAGGCTAGTTGCTCAAGACTTCTGCCTTCTTCATGCAGACCAAAGTTTCCCATTTCTGCAAAGGAAATGGGGCCAGCCTGAATGAATCATGACTTTCCTCATAAGCTTAAGGAATTGAAGGAGTTATCTTTATCCTAAACTTTCATTCTTAAAACTTTTATAACAGTACTTTGTTTTCTTGTAGATTCCTATTCATGACTTGTTCCCAGTGCAGATCTTGTTCCTGATGTAGATCTTCACTCACCCTTTTTCCTGATATAAATCTTTATTCCTCACCCCTCCCGTTCTGATGTAGATCTTTAAACCCCCCCCCACACACACTTGGGTCCTGATGTAGATCTTCACTCACCCCTTCTTCCCTGGCATGGCCCCTTTGCAGATATTCTGTTCCAAACTCTAGTTACAAATCCTGGTTATCTTGGGTTAAAAATTTGTGCCAATGTACCCTTTAAGAGCCTTTAAGGCGGAGAGAGGGATTTGCTTCAGAAAACAGAGGCAGCACTGGATCTTTTACAGAGGGAGCTCCTGGTCTTTTAACCACAATTGATTGGCACTGTTAAGAGTGTGCCAAGATATTGATACGTGGGGCTAATATCCATCTGTGTTCCTTGTATCTTTTTGTTTTTGTAATGGCTCATAAGTGTTGAGCCTAAATTTCTGGACGCCTTCCATCGCTTCTCCTACTCATGCTGCTTGGCTGCCCAGTGTGCTATTTTACTTGGAGTCAAAATTGGAATTGTAAGGGGAAGAGCTGCCAGATTAAATATCATATTCCTTTTTGCAGAACTGGTTCCCTGTTGATTGTTCTTTCTGCTAATCTTAAAATACAATTGCCATTGCTCAGCCGCTCTCTTTGATGCACCTCAGCTCACCCAGATCCATCTCTTGTCTTCTAAGGTGCCTGTTTCTTTACTTGTTTCTAAAAAAGCAACACCTGCTTTGATATGTCAGAGTTGATGCACCACACCTGTTAAAAATGTAGGTCGCATGACTCTGAATTGGCAAATTTAGAGATTTCTCTGATCTGGGTATGAGATACTTTGAGATCACGTAGTTGGTTATATCAACGGCACGTCCTTTCCCCCTCCAGACCTCTTTTTCAGGGTCTGATCTAATAAGATATTGACTATAATTCAACAAAAGCATAGCCTGCATTTTCTTATCATTGGTTTTTGAATGATTTCTATCCCATTGTTAACCCACATGGCTATCTGAATAGCAGCCATGACCATGATATTCTCTTCTACTCTCCAGACTCTTCCCTGGAGAGGTTTCTTCCTAGTCGAAAGGCTTTGCAATAAGTGTATTGCTCTTAATTATTGATGCTTGGGGAATTCCTTTTTTAAAAGAAACCTTCAAATGGCTTTGCAAAATCTCTGGTGTTTGCCTTTGTAGTCATCCTGTGAAATATACTGTTATTATTTCCATTTTGTTGGTGGAAATTTGAAGCAGAGAGAGAGGTTTGGTATCCAGGGCCAAGGTAGAATTTCATTTCAGGCCTCTCTGGCCAAATCCAACATTCCACCCCTGTAGCCATCTTGCTGTCTCTGGAATCAAATTTTGGCTTCTTCCACATATGCACAAAAGATATTTCTTGCTATGTGAGATTAACACACACACACACACAGAGAGAGAGAGAGAGAGAGAGAGAGAGATTAGCACCTCTGTTTGCAAGCTGATAGCAGCAAGAGTTCTTCTAAGACTGAACTCCCATGCGGGATGCAAATACCATTGCAGGAAGGGAGACTTTATTCTGAGTGAATATGCACATTTACTTGGCTGTCTTTATCTCTTCCTTGCAAACCTGGCAAAGGCCATGTCTTCTTTATCTGCTTCTGCACCCCCTCTCCTAAACAGTACACATGTTCTGTTTTGTTTTTTTAAAAACTAGGATCCAACTCCTAGACTTTACCAAGCTATTTGTGTCTCTTCCCCATATGCCATTTCTACCTACTTACGGTGATTTTTGTTTGTGTGTGTCTTATTTTTTTCTCCTTCAACTCATTCCCCCCCCCCCAAAGCCCAAGGACATACCTTCTAAATTTAGTATAGCATCGTTCTCACAATCAGCAGATGGGATGACAAATGTTTGCATGAACTGCACCACTTCAAATTACAATTGGGAGTTCATAGGACTGAATACTCCTCCACATATATTCCCTGTAGTAATAAGAGCTCCCGCTTTCATTGAGAAGTGGTTAAAGCTCAGGCACAGACTTCTTAGCCCATCTGGTGTCGTCGTCCCCACCTGAGGATTAGCTCCAAAGGACTGAGAATTACTTTTAGAGAACTGACTATACCAACAATTCAGAAGTATCTACCTCCCACAGACTGCCTCTGGCTTTTGTGTGCCATCCCATTGAGATAACCAGGACTGTCCTACCCACTGGAGAAAATAGGGGCATTTCTCCCAGGCAGGGATGGGGAATCTGTGGCCCTTCAGATAACATTGGACAGCAGCTCCCATCATTTCTGACCATTGGCCATGCTGGCTGGGGCTGATGAGAGCTGGAGTCTAGCCATATTTTGGGGGAGCCACAGGCATTGGACTAAGTAAACCTGAATGTTCTTCCTTAGTTCACTTGCAGCTTGATTGCTTGCCCGTTGTTTCTTCTTTTCTCCCCAACAAAAACAATGTTAGGAAGCTATCTTTTATTCCCTAGAAAGGAGGAGTAGATGCAACATGTTGCATGGACCTTCCAAGATTTATTCGTAAACTTTTGGCACTTGTTTAGAACTGTAAACTCTTCAGAATTTGGATCATTTCCAGCTTTAAAGAGAGTATTGGAAACTCTTAGGGAAACACCCATCCTGTCTTATATGTGTGTTTGTGTGCTCTGCTTCTCTCCCTTTCTCTCCCCCACTCCCCACCATGCACACATCCACTTTTATGGAACATAGGAATCTTCCTTACATCAAGCCAGAACATTGGTCCCTCTTGCTCAGTCTACCCAGGCTGGCAGCAGCATTCCAGGGTTTCAGGCAGAGATCTTTCCTAGCCCTGTCTGCATATGCCAGGGATTGATCCTGGGATCTTCTGAAACGTGTTTGTGTACTCTGCCATTGCACCCTGACCTTTCCTTGGAAGTTCTCTGCACTATTCTGAACTGGGCAACAGAGCGGGAAGGAAGCAGTGTTCTCTGATGTCGTAGGGCTCAAAAGCTTGTTAACAGACACTGGCTCGCCAGTAGTTCACAGGGTGAGGAAATAATGCAGCATTCTGACCTAGAGGCCCCTCTGTGGCCAGGTGTGCAGGCATTCGGAGCATGCAGGCTCCTGCAGAACAACATCTGGAATCCCTAATGGAATTTGGCTCCTGAATAGCTTTTGCAGATGTTCACCTTTTTGATGCAATGAGCATGACTTCCTCCCGTAGAGCTGTAGTGGTGCTAGTTTTTATTCTTGTCAGTGTAGTGTGGTAACTACAAAATCTAATGTGTGAATTGCTGCTGTGGCGATAACCTTGGCCAAGGGATAGGTGGTGGTGGAACCTATTTGTTTCTATCAGAAGTAGAAAGAAGATTTATACACTTAATATAGGAAACTAGGTTATACCAGATGGTACTTATTTGCCCATTGGGCCTCTTTTTAAACTACACACTTTGTACCTCTCAAAAACAAGTGCAAAAATACAATTGGAGTTCAAAGCAATAATGCATTCATTGGGGACTCCCCTAGAACTGATGAGAAAAACATAACCCTCCCTCTCCACTTACCTGCAGTCCATGAGAAATTGACTTCAATGAAAGTAATAAGCATATTACAAACCTACACCAGAAAGGTACAAAATCAAGAGCGGATAAAAACAGGGAAAATGGCAATTAGGGAAAATTGTCAGAAATTTTAAAAAATCCAAAAGCAAATTCTCAACCGAATACAAGTCAGTATAGAGTAGATAGGCAAAGCCAAAGGTTCACACATTCCAAGCATAATGGAATTCTGGATTTTGATTGTCTTCTTTTGTATCAACGTACGCCAATACCAAGTCGGAATCAATTTGTTGGATTTTGAGGTACCCCAAAGTGTTGTCAACTTAGGTGTCAACTTCTTCTTAAATGTTAAGTGCCACACCTTGTGAAACTGGTAGCCCCGCATTGCACCCAGTAAGTCCTTCCTGTGTTTTGCCGGGGTTCTTTGTTGTTGACACTTGACAGCAGCATCTCTCCAGAGTATAAGGCAGGTGTCTTCCCTCTCGTCGGCTAACCTGATCCATATAATCTCTGAGCACATCTCTCTCTCTCTCTCTCGGCAGAGGGCCACTCCTGTGTTTCCCATTTCCCAGTCTTTTGTCTTGTGGTGGGGGAATGGTAGCATATCTTCCATGTGTTGAGAGCCCTTTTTAGCCACCCAAAGCTCATTGGTTTCTTTCCAACAGCCAGGCCCAGTTTGAGGATACCCGGCAGCATCTCCAAAAGCAGCCAGTGGTGGGACAATGGAAGCCCCTTGCACCAAGCAACAGGGGCCAGGAGCTGCAGCAGCCAGAGCCTTCTGCCAAGGACTCAGCAGGTGGGGATGAGAACCAGTCCGTGGCGCAACTCAACGTCTCCCGCTTGCGCAGCTCCTCTGTGGAGATCCGTGAGAAGGGATCTGAATTCCTGAAAGAAGAGCTCCACAGAGCTCAGAAGGTAAGAGGTTTGGTCAAGATGGGAGAACAGGATGGCCACATCCAAATGCCATGGTAAGCTCTAAACATATATTGGTGAGCACAAGCCACAGGCACAGGGCAGTGCCTTCTGAGTCAGAGCTTGGGTCCATGTAGCTCAGTGTAGTTCATACTGACTGGCAGCAGCTCCTGGGACTTCTTCCTTTCCCAGAGATGCAAGGGACCTTTTTGGTGCAGAGCAGATGCTCTGCAATTGAGCTGCAGCCCATCCCCACATATCTGTGACTATGTGAAGCTTCTTCTGCATTGCTCACTAAGGGGCATTCTGGGTCTCTTATTAGCATGCAGTGGGAAGCTGCTCCAAGGAACAATTGACATTTTGGGTTGTATCCAGTGGTGTCTGTGCATGAGTGGAATGAATGCTGATGCAACGGGACTTCACCTTCACCCCCTCCCCACTGCACCATGCAGGGAGTGTAGGGGGCTGGGGGTGGGGCGGAAATGGAGAAATCTTGTTGCGTGAGTAGAATGCGGCTTGCACAGTGTTGGGTTCACTCCACAGTAAGGCTATCCTGCTTGCCTTCTGTATTGATTCTGTTCTGTCAAAAGCAGGCTCATGCTGCTTTGTGAGTAAGACAGGTGCTGAGTGAGCAAAACACCAGAATCCAATTGCAGAAAAAGAGCGTCTGCCTTTATCTCTCAGTCTCAATTAAAGATGCCACTGCATAATGTGTGGTTTGCATTATAAATGCATGTGTGTACCTTCAAGCATTATAGGAATACATTTTATATTTCTGGTCATTCGTGGTGGCCTGATACCTTGGACTTGTGCACATTGCTTATCCTTTTTCATGCTGTTCTTCCAGTTACAATTGCACTCTTTAATTAAAGAAGTGTGATTTGCTTTAAAGGAAATTGGAGAAATCAATTGATATTATTCTTTCAATGTCTGTTGGGCAATGGACAGCTTGTATGTCCTTAGGTTGCAGAGCAGGCAGACCACAGCACTGGTAGTTTTTTCATAACCAAACATCCAAACTGGTGTTGAGGGTGTGACAGTTTGGTGTAGTGGTTAAGAGTGGTAGACTCGTAATCTGGTGAACTGGGTTTGATTCCCTGCTCCTTGAAATATGGGTCCCCCCAACAAAATTTAAAATTCGGCTTTGTAATTCCGAATTTATGTGATGTGATTTAATTTGATTTGATTGGCCGGTTAATAAATTTTTTTTTTTAAAAAAAAAAGAGCGGTAGACTCGTAATCTGGTGAACCGGGTTCGCGTCACCGCTCCTCCACATGCTGCTGCTGGGTGACCTTGGGCTAATCACACTTCTCTGAAGTATCTCAGCCCCACTCACCTCACAGAGTGTTTGTTATGGGGGAGGAAGGGAAAGGAGATTGTTAGCCGCTTTGAGACTCCTTAGGGCAGTGATAAAGCGGGATATCAAATCCAAACTCTTCTTCTTCTTCTTCTTCTTCTCTAAGAAGATACAATACGTGCTGGCCTAAGGGAGACATAGATTCTAACCTAACTCCCCTTTCCCACCCACCAAATATTTGCCTGTAGGCCAGAGATAAGAGTTAATGCTGACAGTTAAGTACCGGTATCTTTGTTCAATCTTTTGTGACATATATGGAAGCCCAAGGTAGGAAAACAGGCTGTTTTTCATTATGGTGTCTTAGAAACCCTCGATCAGTAGTTGTGGGGATGAGGGGTGATGCCTTAGTTTCACCAGCATGAGAAGGTCTTTTCTTAGCATGCCCATGGAGAGGCTTTTGGCTAAGGCCTTGGAAAGCCACTGTTTATGAGGTGTGACTTGGTGCCTGCCGACTCCTTATATCTGTGACTGTGGCCAAGGAGCCTTTGCCCCAGGTGTGCTGTTTCGCTTACTTGCATGTTCTGCTCTGCAGGAGTTGAAGTTGAAGGATGAAGAATGCGAGAGACTTTCAAAAGTCAGAGAGCAGCTGGAGCAGGAGCTGGAGGAGTTAACCGCAAGCTTGTTTGAGGTACCGTCTCGTGCCTGGCCTGAAATGAATCCCGGAGCCTCCAAGATGGTGCTGTTCACCTTTAGGAACCACTTTCAAGGCCTTCCTTATGCAATCGGAACAGGCATGTGGTGTGTGTCTGTACGATTGCACATATTTAAACCCTTATCACCTTCACATCCTCTTCTGAGGCACTTGTGAGCAGTCACAGTGTGTGGGATGGGGTGCTGCCCTCTCAGTTGTGGCTGTGCTTCTGTTTGCCAAGATCTGGAGCAGGCATGGTAGTGGCAAGGGTGGGAGAAACACTTGGTTGTGGGGATGGGAGGGTTGCCTGTGCTTGGGCCTGCTGCCAGCCCAGTGCTTCCCCTGCCCTCACTGCTGCCCTGCTCCCTCCAGATCTTCGCAAACAGAAGCACTGCCAGAAGGGTGGCACAGTAGCACTACCCCATCAAACATGCCACAGCTGCTTTTGAGAAACAAGTTTACACAAAGCAGTAGAATTATCAGGCGTGGCTACATGTGTGCCCGCTCACAGAAAACTAGCATGTCAATGAGACGCTTGTAACCTAGATGTCTTCCTGCATCACAGTTGTCTCTATCCAGGGCACTTAATATGCAGGAACATTAAAAGGTTATTCTCTCCTGTCCTCCACCCCCTTCTACCATCACCAGAAGTGAAGAACTGCATTGTGTTGTTTTCATGATCATGTGCCTCAGCTCTGACAGGAACATCCTTTTTAAAAAAAGAAAGGTTCTATGTAATTTTCTGTAGTACCTCCCCAGCCCTAGGAGGAAACTTGTATATTACAGTGCCGTTTAGCAAATGCTGCTGTTTTGTATACAGGTGTGTTTTCCCTGGTTTCTTGTTCTCTCTGCTATAGGAAGCCCATAAGATGGTGCGGGAGGCAAACACCAAGCAAGCGGCATCCGAGAAGCAGCTGAGGGAAGCCCGAGGGAAGGTGAGCCCTGTTCTGCCACAGAGAGCCATGTCGCCCTTGCATATACTCATGTCATGGGAGGAAGGGGAACCATGCCTGCTGGCTCTGCCCCAGAAGTCCACATAATGTCCAGTAAAGAAAACCTTCATGCATTGGCTCTTCATGAGATTGGGTTTCCTGATTACATGGGGAACCTTTAGCATGCCTCTAAGTGTGTGTGGGGGGGTGCCAGCTCTCCTTTTCAGATTTTGCACTGAATGTGCAGAGGTTGGCAGCCAGCAGAATGTGGGGGGGCAGTTTGAAAGAAGGGCTAATATGCGGCAAGGAGCAGGTAAAGGTGACTTTCTCATTGGTCCAACTCACGTTCCATGAAAACAGAAACAAAGCAAGTTTGGGACCCACTGCTCTAGACCTTTTTGAGTTTGGAAAAGACATACAGCAGGATGGGAAACCTCAGGCCCAGGCAGCAAACCCAGCTCCCTAAGTCTTTCTTCCCTGTCTAGGCCTCAAACCTTCTGCAGCTCACACCCGTTCAGCCCAAGCCTCGCCTCTCCCTGGCCCTGCTCCGCATGTGCTTTTGCCTGGCTGGATCATGTCCTTGAGCTGTGGTAACCCCTCTTAACTGCCTGTAAAGGAGAGATTTTGGGGGTGTTTGTGTGTGTGGAAACCTCTGCATTCTTGGCTGAAATATGGCCTACTGTTGCTCCACCCTCTCTTGCCTCTGACCCTTGCTCACCTCTGAAGTTTAGCCTCCTTGAAAGCTTCCCAGAAGGGAATGCCTAAAAAAGGGTTTCCCACCCTGATACACAATGTCTTAACTTGGGTCCTCCACCATGAGAAAATTTCTTCAGATGACTCTGCACTCCTCCGTTTTTGGCCCAGGATTCTGTGCCTGCTCTTTATCCAAAGGCTTCTGGCATTACGTGGCAGTGGCTGCTCATGTTGTGACTGTTTTGGATGAATGCTCAATTCAGTCACAGTTCCAAGTGGCTTTTTGGGAACAAGGATGCGAGGCATTTAATAAATATTCAAGCAAGATCAAGGGCAGAGGTGCATCTTTGTGCCTCAATTCCGGCCGGGACACAGGGAACGCTTGTGAGGCTAAGAGCAGATATGGCCAAACGTTCTGTTGTTAGCTGAAAGGGCAAGAGATTTGCAGGGCGCACTGGGTGGAGAGGACAGATAATTAATGCCTAGAGCAGTGCAGTTCCACTCCAGCAAGCTTGCAAGGTCCCTGTCTCAAATTTCGCCTGCCCATATAACTGCTCCCAGCGAAAAGCAAGGGAATGCAGTGGTAGGTGGCCCCACCTAACCAGTCCGTCTGCCAGGGAGGCCATTGAAGGTTAGTTGTTCCTCGCTAATGCAGTGGTCCCTGTAATCCTTTTCTTGATAAACTTTGTCGAACCAGCTTCTCTAGAACTACTTGAATGTCCAAAACTCTGAGACACTGCCTGAGGGTTTCTGAAAAGGATCTGTAGCCAGCAGTCCAGAATGTAGTCATAAAAAAATCTCATTACCATATGGCTGCAGTGCCACCTGTTGACAGGTCCTAGGCAAAGCATACAAATGCTTTCTGTCTCTTCACACAAGCTGGATTCTTGGGTGTATTTTTTTATTAGATTCCTGAGAAGTGCTGCATTTCAACTCCAAATATTTTGACATTTTAACCTTCCCATTTTAGGGGTGGGGGTGGGGCGGGATAGGAAACTGTGGCTAGGACTGTACCAGCTTGCATATGTTCAACACAGAAGTGACTAGATTTTTTGAAAGTGCACTCCTAACAGACAGCCAAGGCTGGTGAGGGGCAGGTGACAATACTCACAGCACAGCATCCCAGATGTAAGTGTGGGGGGACCACGTTAGCATACTGTGCAAATAAAAATTCTGAATCAGTGAGAGCTGAATTTGGCAACCCATATCCATAATAAAATATGCTTCGTTTTGCATATTTCATGATTCCTCTGTTAAGTTTTGGTGTTCCTCCTCACAGATGTGCATCAGGCATCTTCACTGTGCAGCTTTCAGCAAATGCAGAAAATGCACCTCTTTATCCTTGCCCTGATGGAACGATCACATTAGCATGACATGAGGGGTGAATAACTTTGTGGAGTACTGCGGCCCATGCCTCCTGACCTCTGGGCATCTGACCCACCTCTGGCTTCTGAGATTTCACCAGGCATTACTCATGCACTTTCAGTCTTACCTTTGTGCTCTTAAGCACTAGATATTTTTTAATATTTTAGGTAGGTTTCTGCACCTGCATGGAACAAGGAGCACATGCAGCTTCAGCTGCACAGCTTGATGCTCTAGACTTCATCAGGCTCCCTTTTCCTTTTTAGAGAACAGAACTGAGTGGGTTTGGGTGAGCCATTACATGTTCTGCAGGAAACAGGCAGGCAGGTCCCTGGATCGCATTCAGAGCACCTGCTTCCTGCGTGGAACTAGGTCCTGTGATGAATGAAGAACATGGCACCGGTGATCTCTTTTTGTCTCCTGCCACCCAGATTGACATGCTGCAGGCGGAGGTGACCGCCTTGAAGACTCTGGTAATCACGTCTACACCTTCTTCCCCCAACCGGGAGTTGCACCCCCAGCTCCAAAGCCCCTCCAAGGCAGTCTTCAGAAAAGGGCACGGGCGGAATAAGAGCACCAGCAGTGCGGGCGCTGCCACTGCCGCCAGCCAAGGCCTGCCTGTGGAGCCAGTCAGCAGTGAGTTCAAAGAGGTGGGTCAAGTTTATGGGTCAGCATTCTCGCTTGAGGTTTTGGAAGGAGGGGCTACTTAGCATCCGTCACATTGGGGAGGGGTGCACATGAGTGGGGTGTGTGGTGAGGTTAGGGTTCAGAGGGGAAAGGTCCTTTTTATCTTGAAACTTGCAGACCCTTCTCTGCTCCACTACAGAAAGCAATTGAATAGCCTTAAACTGACCTCGTTTAATTGCATAAGCCTGGCCAGGTTCTTTAGCTGCCCCGGGCCAGAGCCAACAATTGCACTAGGAATGTGGTTGAGGGGGACCTTAAAAGCAGGTGTAGGCAAGGACCTGAAAAATTCCTTGAGTTGCTTTGACTACCACCTTTATGCAGCTTCATGGGGCTTTGTGCTTTCTTATGAACGGAGTCTTCCTCTTCCAAATCTTCTCTCCCTCTCACACCGTTTTGCTTTCTCTCCTTGTCTTTCTGTCTCTTCTTCCTTCCTGACCCTGCTACCTTGTCTGCCTATCTGTCTGACCCTCCCATTCCTCAAAGTCTGGGGTGCCCACCCTCCTCTCCCTCCTTCTCTGTATCGTCCCTGCGAAGGCTATCCACATCACCTATGAGCCAGGCTGGCAGTCCCTGGCATCAGACTCTTCCTTCTCCTCTTCTCTCTCATGGCAGGTAATCTCTCTCTCCGTTTGGGGTGGCAGCAGGGTGACCCGATGGGGAGGAGGAGGACAGGGCTCGCCCGCCTTTCTAGTCTCTCTGGCAAAGAGATGGTTTTAAGCAAGCTTGAGGTGAAATCTCTTCTACAAAACCACTCAAGGGCACAAGAGCCTCGTTCTCCTTGACATCGGTTTGTCCTGCTTGGGGAAAGCAGGAAGGCTTGGATGCAGTAGCCTCTTACAGCTCCCCACCGCTTTCCGTTCTTTCTTTAATACTAACACCCATTTTTGTTCTGTTTTCTCTTTAATTGTTTCCTCCCTTCCCTCACCCCATATTGTGGCTCTGAAGTTGCCTCCCGGTGTCAGGTGAGCAGTCTCTGTAACATAGCGCTTGTATGCTGTTGGTTGAGACCTTTCCCGGGGGGGCCAGGAGGAACTTTTTTCATGGTTATATCATGCCTGTGTTGTAGCTGTTTCTTCTCTTCAGCGTGGTGGGGGCAGGCGAGGGAACAAATTCTTCTTAAATATTCAGCTTGGGAAGCAGCTAACTCGTTTAAAGATGCGACTGGACACAGCATAGTACAGTTGTTTCTGCTCAGGGCATTTTTTCAGGTGGGCACCATTGCCATTATAAGAGAACAAGGGAGGCTTTCATTGTGAGTTCTGGCACCTCCTCCTCTAGAAAAATAGTGCCGCTTTTGCTGATAGGCCTTGAATCCCAGGGTGCCCTAAACTCTGGTGTATGTCTTTTAGAGCAAGGCATGCTGGGAGTGGTTGGGGAATCCCGTCAGTGACTTTCTGGCTGAAGAGGGAGAGTCTGGAGTCACTTCTGGATTTTAAAACTGAGTGTTAGAAAAAGCAGAAGTATTCTTGCCTTTGGATATGATTGATTGATTGATTGATTGATTGATTGAATTTATATACCGCCCTATACCCAGGGGTCTCAGAGCAGTTCACAGAATAAAATCAAGATATAAAACCACAAAATACCTAATAAAAATAAAAACAACAACCCAATATGCCCCCCTTCCACAAAAAAACACAATTTGGAAGGGCGTAGGGTGTAATATGTGACAGTGCCACAGTGTGGAAACACAAGAGCTCAGAAACCAGAAAGTAATTGCAGAGAAAGAGGTGACCAGAATCTTCAAGGAATCAGGCCTTACCTGACCCCTTGCAAGTTTAGGCTATGGGTGTCTTTTGGCTTGTGAGCCTGCTCCCTGGAGTATTTTTGCCTTTCTGCAGTGTCCCATAAAAGGCCTTCAATGGAGGGCTCCTTATACTGATTTCCCCTCCCAACATGCTTGTTTCTGGGTTCTAGAATTGGGCCCAAGATCAGCACGATAAAATTTGCCTGTTTTTCCTCGTGGACTTTGGGTGACCCTTGTTTGCTTGGATGGGAAGTGAGTTCTCTCCAGCAAAGCAAGGTGGCAGCTAAGCTCACATCAGACAGGCACCACATGGGATGGCAGTGGAATAAACGCGCTTAGTGGTTGCTGTTCTTCTATCTCCCATTGGCACAGGGCTGGGGAACCTGTGGCCTTCCAGATGTCAATGGTCTCCAACTCCCTGGCCATTGGCCATGCTGACTGATGGGAGTCGGGAATCCAAAACATCTGGGTGGTGACAGTAAGCATTCATCCTGAAGAAGAAATTAACCTTCCACAGCTCCTGCAGTGGGTGTGTGGACACATACTGGCTTGGGCATTTTGCAGCTAAAGGTAAACGCTCCCATTGCTTAAATTTATCTGGTATTAGGATGGATAGAAAGTATGCTGTCTCCTAATGCTATTTCCCTTGGCATGGCCCTCTTTTTCTTCTTGTAGACATTGCTTCGTGTCTGGAGTCTTACAGATTCCAAGGCAATGAAGTCTACTGTTTTGACCCACAGGCCACACTTATTCTGCTTGTTTGCCTCACAGGTTGCACACCAAATACTGCTTAGTCTGAGGTAACCTCTTGGTTCTTGTACGCTAAACCCTGCTGACTTCTTTGTCTCTCTCCTCACCCCATTGTCTGCTCTTCTGTGTTTCTTTGTCGCTGTAGGTGGATTCCATCTTGCTTGCCGAATTCCAGGCTTGGAAAGAGTCTCCAACTTTAGATAAATCATCTTCTTTCCTCGAAAGGATTTACCAGGAAGATGTAGGCCCATGTCTGGACTTTACTAAGCATGAGGTGAGATTAAAAAAGGTTTGGACCGAGGTTTTGAGAGAGCTGACATGCTGGGATTTGTTCCAGCAACTGCTCCCTCCTTGGAACCTTGCCTTGATTTCCCTGCCTTTGTTTTATTTGTTGCAGCTCTCAGAGCTGATTCAGGCAGCTGTGGAGCAGAACACGCTCACCATTGAACCCGTGGCTACCCAGGCGCTGCCTGTGGTGAAGGTGTCGGCCATTGAATGCGGCGGACCAAAGTAAGGAAACATTGGCCGCCTCTGCTGCCTCCCCTCCCTCCTCACACAGATAAACATCTGGCCTCCTTCACTGCTCCAGGAGCAGTTGCCTAGCAGAGGGAAATGCTGGCTAGCTGTTCATGGAGTGCAACTGGTTTATTCCTTCCTTTTATATCCCACTTTTCAGCATGCCCCATGTGACTCACAAGATAGGAAGGAGAAATCAAAGCAGGGAAGGAATCAATGACAGCAAAAGTGGGGAGGGGAATGAAATCTTGAACGGCACAAAAATAAAGCTGCATTGCAATGAATTTTGCAATCAAATAGGCAAACCAGAAGGGAGTTGTAAAGCAGAGGAGGGGAACCTCCCATTATTGCTATTGGCCATTCTGACTGGGACTGATGGGAGTTGGAATTCAACAGCCTCTGGAGGGCCACAGATTCCCCATAAGGGTTTGCAGATATTTTTGTTTTTAGAATTTTTGTTTTTTGTATTATTACTTTTTATCTTGGACACTGCTTTCATAGCCTCAGGTGATGAAGTCATTTATAAATATGTAAAACAATAATACCCAATACTAATAAATATGGTGCCACCATCAGGAAATCCCTGTGCTTAATAACTGCTGCCCCAGAAGGTTGTTTTGGGGGTGGGGGGCATTTTGGTACATTTGGAACAGTGTAGTTATAAATTCACCTAAGTATGCAGGGATGGTTTTTGAGTGCAAAGAGCCTTCTGTGAAAGGAGGAACAACAAAGGACACACCTCATAGAATAAAGCTAGAATTACATATCAAGCTAAAAAGACAGCAAGCCATAAAAACAAGAGAATATTGACCATTAGAAACTTGTTCAAATGAAAAGCTCTTTATTGCATACTTAAAAGCAGAAAGCAATGGAGCGTGGAGGCATTCCAGTCTTTGTGCCATCACTAAAATGGTCCTGACTTATGTCCCCACTTGTCTGGTCTCAACAGGATGGAGAGCAGGGCCTCTGATGGGCAGGTTAACCTCAAGGTTCTCCTTTTCTGAGCAACAGCTCATGTAGGTGAAGACTTACCTTCCATAGTATCAGAAGCCAAGGGCATGACTGAAATCACATGGATTTTCTCTCTCCCCTCTTTAAAAAAAGTCTTTCTCCAGCATCAACCATGTTTTCTGGGGCATGCCAAACAGAACACCTACTGTATTTTCATCCTGATTTTGGTTTCCTCCTCTTGTTTCTTCTCACAGTGGCTTCCGGTCCCAAATTGTAACGTAAGTTACTTATTTTAAGGCAACGATGAAAGGATGCCTTGCTCCACTAATAAGTTACTAACTTGCCTACTTACTAATGGCCTTGAAGTTGGAACTAGAAAGTAACTCTTTAAAATTCCTGATGGTTAACCCACTGAAAGCATATAAGTCATCCTTGCTTGGAATTCTCTTTGAAGCTGATGGCCTGACTTTCTGTGGTGCTGGGTATGAAAGCCTAGAGAGACCTCTGGCCAATAATTTTCAATGTTATTCTGGAATATTAAACCCACTTGGCTTTCAGAACTGCCAAAAATGTACCTAATGCTTCACTAACATTTTTCACTTTCAAACACAGATGCAAGAAAGTTTGCCTGCCTGCAAGTAGCCTGGGAAGCCTCCATTTCACACATGACCCAATCCTAAGCATGCTTACTGATAAGCAGTGCTTTTTTTCTTAAAAAAATTAAATGTTTAGAGGTACTCTCATTTTCCTACTCATATTGAAATACTTTGCCTCAATGAGGCCAAATTTAGATTCACAAAATGTTTAGGGGTATGCATCCCCCTGCACCCCCCCCCGAAAAAAGCACTGCTTATAAGTAAGCCCTACTGAGTTCAGTGGGGCTTCTTCCCTAAGAAATATGCTTAGGATTGCAGCCTTCATCACTGTATCCCCTGTTTGCTAAGGGTAGCAAATAACTGAAAGTGATGAAACAAGAATATGGTGTACAGTATCTTGAAGAATATGTCTCTAAAATTCCATATCCCAACGTTCTCAATAACATCATGCATTAAACTGGTGCTCTTGGTTTGGCTTTCACTAATCACCAGCATAGTTTGGCTTCTCTCTTTCTTCTTCATTCCTTTGATGAGCTGTCTTTTGAGGACAACCTGCTTTTTCTTTCTCCCCTTTTGCAGGAAATGTGCTCTAAGTGGCCTGTCTCGGGCCTGTAGGCATCGCATCAAGCTGGGAGACTCTGGGAATTACTACTACATCTCCCCTTCCTGCAGGGCCAGGGTAGGTCTCCCAAGAAGCCCTGAGATTATTTGCATAGGGGCAGGGGCAACAACCATCACATGGAACTGTCTGGTCCTCAGCATGAAACAGTGGAATTTGCTGCCAAGGAGTGTGGTGGGAGGTCTTTAAGCAGAGGCTTGACAACCATATGTCAGGAGTGCTCTGATGGTGTTTCCTGCTTGCCAGGGGGTTGGACTCGATGGCCCTTGTGGTCTCTTCCAACTCTATGATTCTATGATTCTATGATCCTGTGGAAGTTAACACTTGCACTACAAATGTGTGCAGTCTTTTGTTTTGCTGAGAACATGATGTCCTTCTGCCATTTCTGAAGCACCCAGTGCTCTTGTACATATTGCTCGTGTACAAAACAAACTGTGTTTTTAAGTCTAACATGTATTTTTCAGGCTCAACCAGAGCTGAATTCATCAGATGCATTAAGTAAGCTGTGAAGTGGTGGATATTACACAAGTGGGACCTGTTCCCAGCTGAGGTTCTCCTCTTCATGGACCCAGCCAGTCATCTGATCCTCCAAGATGCTAAAGGGTTCTAGCAAGGCATTCGCTTCTTGCTACCCCCCTCACCCAAAATAAAAACCTGATTCCATTTTGCTTTCCCAACTGACACACAGCATTCTTTTGCTGTTGGTCAGGCTCAGTCTGCATTGGGCTGTTCTTTGTGGGTTTTTCCTCAGTAGGTTTTTTAAATATATTGCACTTCTATAAACTTTGGGGTTTGGCTCCAATCTATCAGCACTCACCAACAGAGTTTGCTGTTAAACTGAAGATATCCACATAACACTGTTCCATTTTTCATTTAAGGAATTCATTATGGGTTCCAAGTAATCAAATAAAATGCTTCCTTACTTTTTCAGTGGAAGTCTGCGAATGGTTCTGAGGAGTTACCTCTCTTCATTCTATTCCCCCATATAGTAATCATAGTAGTACCACCAAATACATATTCAAATCTCTCACTGGAATGTTTGATATTCTATAAGCCATGTGTTTGCATAAAACACAATCATTAGAACATTATTGCTCACAGTGTGCAGAAAAGCCCTGAAACACACACACACAAATGTTCTTTGCCATATCTGCTATGTTTATCCTTATAAACATACCTGAGCCTCTTTTTTCCATTTTTTAAAAACTTCATGAAACTCTCTTAGTCATATTGGATTTGCCTCTCCTTCTCTAGTGTGGCTTCTGTTCTTTTGTAGGGTACCAAAATAATCCTGTAGTGAATCCAAAGACCTATTGTTTCCTCCTGTTGAAACATGTTGAGCCCATTCTTTGCAAAGGCTGCATAAATATGTAACTTATAAATGTATATCAATATATTGTAAATATTTTAGTTATCAGTATGTCAATTGTTGTTACTAATAATATTTTATTATATTTATATCCCACTTTTCCTCCATGAAGCCCACGGTGGTATACATGGTCTGTCCCCCCTTTTCATTTTATCCTCACAACAACCTTGTGGGATAGGTTAGGCTTAAGAGGCAGTGCCTGGCCCAAAATCATCCAGTGAGCCTCATGGCTGAGTGTGGATTTGAACCCTGATCTCCCTGGTCCTAGTCCAACATTCTAACCAGTACTCCCTCCCTCTTTATTTTTCCAGATTACAGCAGTATGCAACTTCTTCACCTATATCCGTTACATCCAGCAGGGACTGGTGAGGCAGGATGGTAAGTGATGTGTAGGCCTTTCCCATTTTGGATGTGAAGTCTTGGCTTGTTGCTTACTGGCTAGCTCCTAAGACTGTGCAACCACTTCCTAGCATGGAGGAACTGCTGACTCAGAGCTCAGCTTTTCCTTCAGAGACTTGGCAAGGAGCTCCCAAGAGGGAGGGATCGATTCTTCTGCACAGCTTGTCATTTTTACCCAAGGCAGGCTGAAGATGAATGACATTTCCACACTAGCCAAATGAAGTGTGAGGCAGAATGCAAAGCGAGGGGCAGGGAAACCAGATAAAACGAGATGAGCAAGGTGAAGGAGAAGTTTGGTTGGCTGCAAGTCCAGGTTTGATCCTGGTAGAATTTGGCCCCTTTGAAACCAAGCTCTGGTCCACAGATACTTGCCAGATCAGTGCATGGGGAAAGATGCGGTGTCAGAAATGTCAAAGCATATGCTTAAAAAGAGTATCCTAACACCATGCCTCTAACCCACAAGGGAAGTAGCTTTGCCAATCCTTAGCCTTCATTAGTGACATTCAGAAGGTGCTGCTTCTAATGTTAATGGATGATGGGTGGTATGCACATTTAATCAATGTATTTTTTAAAAACGACAAGCTGAACATCCTGCTGTGTTGCTCTCCTAGACACTAGATGGGTTGGCTTTTCCAAAAGGAGGATGTAGAATCTATTGGATACCAGCTCCCATTAGCCCTAGCCAGTACAATCAATGGTTCGGGGTGATGGAAGTTGTCATCCAACAACATCTGGAGGGCCACAGGTTCTCCACCCCAGTGTAGAGCAAAGAGGCGTACTTGTCTTCTACTTTATGGCTCTCTCTGGTGCTTCACTCTCCTCTCTCTCTCTCTTCCTCTCTCCCCTTGCAGTGGAATTGATGTACTGGGAAATCATGCGTCTCAGAAAGGAAATGTCCATAGCTAAGCTGGGATTCTTCCCCAGTGAGATGTAGCTGCGGACTGGCACTCTGGAAGGGCATCACCTTACCACTACTCTGCCAGGCAGCTAGAGGGCTTGACCCAGCACATCTCCTGGTGCTGGCAGGATATAAACTGAAGCTGCCTGATGTAAACTGAAGAGATAAGAAGCACAGATTTCCCCATTGCATTATCTGCAGAGCTTCCTGACAGTGCTTAGCCTGATGCGGAGTGGCCAAGGGACCAGCCCTTCTGTGGCTCAACTGAATGAAGTTGTCTTTGGACTCCTCCCTTCCCCTGTCTCTATGCATTCCACAGCCATTATATATCAAGTCTTCTTCAAAGATCTGCTTCTGCAGGTTCTGAGGCCATGGCTGGGCCTTGGGCTCATTATCGGCTTGCTGCTCTGCAATGCAAATGTAGCTGGGCATTCCCGCACAACAGAGAGAGAGAGAGAGATTTGGACTCTTCCACGCAGCTGCCAACTCCAACCGTGACTGGGCACGAGGGTGTCAGTGCTGTACGGTGGCCTTGTTTGATGGCCTCTACGTGTGTGTTCTTCCAGTTGTTTCCCAGGCAGCTCTCCTCCTGAGGAGCCCGCAAGAATCAGCCGGGGGCTGATTTCTATTTATAGCTCAGGGTTTGCCGTTTGGTTGTGTGACAGATCCGATACCTTGCTCTGTGTAGGTAGGCATCTGTTCTAGGCCAAAACTCTGGCTGGAGCCTCGCTTGTGATGTAAAAGTGGGGAAGTTGCATAACAGGCAGTGGCCCACAACCACATTGAGGTCAGCTGCGCGAGACCGCAGATGCTTTTGCTCCCACTCTACAGGCCAGAGAGTTGGCTGCTGCCACATTAGTTTTCTAGGGAGGAGCTGTCCTCAGCTGACACCCTCCTCCCCACAGGCTCCTTCACTGTGCTTTGTTGCTGTCCAAACGACACTCTTGTGGTATTTTGTGCAACACATTTCAGCTCCGCTCCAGCTTCCCATTTGGTGCTTGCGTCTGCCTTGACAGTATTATAGACTCTTGTATGAAACATTCTCTCTTTTGCTTCATTCACGTTGGAGCTTAAGAAGGACTTCACATCTTGAATATCCTGGCACAATTTTGGGGTTTGTACAGCTCAGCCTTCCCCAACCTAGCACCCTCCATAGGTTTTGGGCTGCACCTCTCATCATCCCTAGGAAACAGCCTATGGTGAAGGATGATGGGAGTTGGAGTCCAACAACAGACTGGGGGACACCAAGTTCACCACCCCTCGTGTACATCCTGCATGTATATTTTTTTTAAGGGGGGGGAGGATGGGGATAATATTTGGATTCAAGTGATACAAATAAATCTTGGCCCCTGAATTGTTTTGGTACTGTAAAAAAGAGAACCACACTTGATTCTGAAATTGTAAATCAGAGTTGGAAGACCTGTTGAATGTTGACAGAAGTGAAAAGTCTTCCTCACTTAGCTTTTGATATGATTTTTTTTTAATGGGAAGGGGAGAATGAGGCTTATCTTTTGGATGCTGTGCCTGATTTCTAAAATGGGAGCAGCTAGGGTTGTGCTCTAGCTGGAAGCAGCATCCTCTGCCCTGAGAGCCATTTCCTCCTATTCCCAGGCAAATGGGAGGCTGGCTGGTGGCTGCTCAGTAGTGAAGGGGAGGCGCTCTGCCCATGCTGGAAAGCACTCACTATGCTATATTCCACAGATGAGCTCTGGCACTGAGAACGGAGCTTCAACGGTGAACCCTGGTATCCGTGAAGCCCTGACAGCATCCATGGCCAGAGCATCTCACTATAAATACAATGAAGTACATTTAAATCATCTTGGCCATAGCGAGTGGTTGCATTATCACCTCTGGTTCCATTAGGCAGAAACTACCGGCTGGTGCTAAAACGTCTTGAACACCCCAGTGCTGCTGGTTGCCCCTTGATGCCTGCACTGTACGCCTGGCTTTGTGTGATCTTGTGACTGGCAATCCCAATTCCACTCCCTGGAGGAGGAACACCATATCTGCTTTCATAGGAAAGAATCGCCTGCCTTTTGGGATTGTGTGCAATGGAGAGCACTTTTTGGTATCATTGAAGTAAATGCCTTTTCTTTCTTTCCTTTCCTTTTGAGTGCAGTATCTCCTTAGTATTACAGGTAAGTGGCTGTCCTATTAGACCTCGATGGTTGGAAGAGAATTGTGGGTTCCCTGCCACTTGGCTGCTCAGTGGCCCAGGGCTTGGTTTCATCTTGATCACATGTAGTAGCACTTGCATGCTAAGGATTATAGTAAATATATATATAAATATATATATGTAACTTAAAAAGCTATTCTCCCCAAAGATGTATCTGGGAGAAAATATTATTGGAATTTATGCTTACAGGAGAAAACGTTGCAACAACACTTGCCTCTTCCTGCTTTAGACAAGGCTTGTCATAAGTGAAAGGACAGCTTCTCAAGGGATCCTCTTGACTATGCTCTCAGCCGTGGGGCCTTCTGCTCCTCACCTCTGCAGGGATGGTGAACTGCCAAGCAGGTTTACACCCAGCAAATCTTGAAATGGCAGAATTCCTAGTACCTTGACCTGCTTCCTATTTCCTTGTCTGCATTTATGGAGGGGTTTATCCCTTATTTCCTACAGCTAATTTCACTGCGAACATTAAATCCTTGATTCAGTAAGAGAGGATTCCCATACTATGCTCCACATGGCAAGCTGTGACCCTCCAGATATTGCTGGACTACAGCACCCATCATCCTTGCCTATTGGCCATGCTGGCTGGAGCTAATGGGAGTTGGAGTCTTCTACAAATGATCAAACCAGGCCAGCTCCTGGTTAATGATAGTCTACATGCTGCTTTGCACATTATGGCAAGCCACAGACTGACTTACCATGACCACTTGAACGTGATGGCTCCCTGAGAAGAGCTCGCACCTGCTTTGCTCCTCCCTAGACTTCTTAGGTCCACATGCGATAGCAATTAAGCCAAGGTTTGGCCTTTGTGGGATCCTGAGTAAGGTCTCATGCCCTTAACTGCAATCTGTAATCATAGGACAAAACTTGGCTTCTGAGCTAGGCGAAGAGCCCAGGACTGAAGACATGCTAAGCCAGACTCTGGCTTAGCTCCATGCAACAGTGAGCTAAAAAAAAAACCCAGGAAGGAGCAAAGCCTAAGCACCAGCATGTTCATGTTAAGTCATGGCTTTGCTTAGTGTGATGGGCAAGCTCTCAGTGCCTCTCCAAGAAAGAGTTCTGCTGCAGGAGAAGCATTCAGTCACGCATCATCTCCACACCTTGATAAGCATAATTATTAGTTGCCATATTTCTTATATCATAGAAAGACTTCCAATACTAGCTCCCTGGTTTTTGCTGCAGCAAATTAGGAGTGCTATCTGGAAATTCCTTACAGTAAACAGACACTACTCTACTGGAAGCAGGTAATGACATTGGAAGCTGCCTTCTATTGAGTCCGGCCTGTGCTCAAAGTTGTCTGCACGTGGCTCTCCTTGGTCTCCGTTTAATGGGTCAGATGCTGTAAGTGGGAGTCCCGTCAATTCTAACGATGATGATAAATTTATTGAAGAGCCTGGCTTTCTAAATTCATCCACCACTCACAGCCACTCTCTCCAAACTGCTGGAGGAAGCACCTGTTTTGCTTCCTGTCTCTTACGGGAAGGGGCAACTGCTGAGCTGTTCTCTTGGCTGCATTATTATCTCCTTACTCACATGTTCATATTTTAATAAAATATACTGATCTCTATTTAATAAATAGACTGCAGTACTGACAGTGAGGCTGGTTCTTATTGCCTTTGGGCTGTTTTATTCCTTTTGAAGCCTGCATGTATTCCAGCTGCAAAATAAACAGCACATTTTCAAAGCAGAGTTCATTGTATTTCTCTCCTCAACCCCTACGAAGATTAATTCTTAAGTATGAGATGTTTTTAGCTTCCTGTAGGGAAGAGGTGTGCCCAGAATTAACTCTAGTACACACTAAGCTTGGATCACCATCAGTTTGTGTCAGGATTACCTGCCACCTGGGCCTTGAATAGATTAAGCGGTAATTAACCAAGGATAGGAACTGCCAAGCTCAGGCTGAGACTTCAAAGGCCTGTTGGGTCCAGCTGGCAAACGAACACAGATACTTCTGTCTTGCCTTGTTCGTGGCTAGACAAGCAGCCAAGGGGCAAAGTAGACGAGTGGACATTTGTAATGCAACATTGACAGTATAAAAATAAGTAGTCTCAGGTGTTTGCTTTTGGAACAGAGGAATGGCACCAACAGATGTGGCACTGCTTAACTCTTGAGATGGGACATGTGGTTCTCCAGATGGCATCGGACTTTACCCCCCATCAGCCCCAACCAGTATGGCCAACTGTTAGGGATGATGGGAGTTGTAGTCCAACAGCATCGGGAATGTTGCAAGTTCCCCACCAACCATTTCTTCTGCTTCAAGTTTCCTCCTGGACATACTCTACTGCATGTGCATTGGAACCCTGATGGGGATAAGCAAACTCTGATCTGGGTGAGAAAAATTGCTTCCTTTCATAAAAAAGCCCCCTCCTGATATGACCCCAATCTATTTGCAGGTATTTTCTAACCAAGTGTTGCCAGTATAGGCTTCTCCCTAGGGCCAGTCCTAGAGGGCTACCTGCCTCCCCCTCCTCCAATCACGCCATGGGCTGTGCCCAGAGCACCCAGCGAAGCCCCTAAGTTTGACCAATCTTCAGTGGTCAAATCTTCTTTGCAACTCTCTAGAAAGATGGGGAGGAAGGGCATTCTATAGAAAGAATGATTTGAGAAATCTTTAAACTTGAAAATAATACTAATTCAGAGCCACAGTGGTTTGGGTTCCTGAGATGCAAGGCCTGGAAGAGAATTTGGGGAGAGCTAACTTGAGTCAGGATTCTGGCCTTCTTTGGAACAATCCTGGGGACAGCGACTATCTCTAGAAAGGGAGACCTCCTCCTTGCTCCTGAAGCACCTAGGAAGCAAACAGCAAAACAAATGGTCATGAGTGCTGAAGGGGCAGGGCAGGCTCTTCAAGCAGCATGGGGCTGGAGACTAGAGAACAGGGGCCATCTTCAGTTCTCGAATCAGCTACACATTTGGAGCAGCTCAGTCTGCAGGAAGTTGTTGTGGAAGAAGAGATCTTTACCAAAGGAGGAAAGACACACTTGTGAGTCAGAGGTGCAGACTCTGTTGCCCTTGGGATGCTGCTGGAGTCCAGCTCCCATCATTCCAGGCTGCTGGCTAGGGCTGTTGGGAGTTGGACCACAGCTTCCCCGCCCCTGCTGTAAGTGCTGGCATGGAGAGATAATAGATGTGGGTGTCACTAATGCACACAGAGGCGAAGGCATGGGACAACACACTCTGGGCTGAAGGTGGTATAGGCTTTTGGGCTTGGCCCTTAATGTTACAAAGGGGAAACTAAGAATCATAACAGTACGTTTCATAGTTGTGCTATTAAGGCAGGGCACTAGGTGTTGGATTTCCAACCCACAGCAGCCCCAACCAGCATAACTAATGGTCAGGGGTGATGGGAGTTGCAGCTTGGCAATGTTTGGAGAGCCACAGGGGCCCCACCACTGACTTGGTGGGGCAAACAAGCCTATAGCTGCAGTGCAACCCTGCATTTCAGAAGAGAACACTTGCAGTTAATCCAAAATGTACAGAACTGTAAAACATTTTGCAGTGGTAAAGCTCTTTGTAAATAGTAAAAAAACAACAACCAAATAAACAGCAAATGTCAATAGGAGTCCCCACCTCCGGATAGCTGTAGTTGTATAGTGAGCCACTCTGCATTTCATGACTTAAATGAGTGAAGAATGAACTGTGATGTGTCTTAATACTTGTTTTGTGCATAGCCTTCTCTTTTCGGAGGATTAGAAATTTAATAAATAATAGCAAAAAATGCCTTTTAAACTGTGTTTAGGGGGTGTTGTTTTCCATTGTTATTATGGTATTATGGATGAAAAGCGGTATAGAAAAAAGAAAGAAAGAAAGCTCCATTGTATTAGAAATAGAGCCATCACTGTATCAGGGCAATAAAACTTTCTGAGGTTCCATTCAAAGGATTTCTACACACAGCTGCTTTACTCCACTCTTGCTCTTAGGAGTGAACATCTCCGTATTAGGAGAAACATACAGGTGTTGTTCCACACAGAAGTCAGCTTATATCTCCATGTGTCTCTCCAGTAACATCTGAGGACACATGGTGTGGATTACATTGTGCTCTGGTTCCCCAGCCAATGAGATGCAGCAGGGATTTTAAAAACCCTCCTCTTTAAGTAAAAGTGACCAAAGTGCGGATGGGGAGGAGAGATGTGGCAGTCAGGTGGCAACCAGACATTCCATATAGCTTTGTACCTCAGGTTGCACTATATAAACACACTTCCATAACTAGGAATTTAGTTCCACTGACATGCATGTGACTTGGAGAAAAACAATAATAATATTGGGTGTAAGTACATGCAAGCTGCAGCAATATTCAATGACTTTCCCATCCTCTTCGCTGGCCTTCAAGGATTCATCTAAACTAGGGAGAATGTACATCCCCAAAACATGGAGAGGGGAAGCACAAACCCCTTCTGCTTTCCCGAAACAGCAGAAGAGGCCAGAGGTCCATTTGTGTCACTTGGAAAAGTTACGTGAGCAGAAAATTGAAAAAAGAATAAACCCAAAGGCCACAAGAAACCTTCACAGGGCCAACCAAAATATTACAAAGCGGTCCTACTGAATCTATTACTTCACTTTGGCTTTTTCCCTCTAAGTGGGCCAATGTGACTACATACTTTTTTTTAAAAGGAAGAAAACATTTCCAGAGGTGTAATTCAGCCATACCTTCTATGCAGTGCCACAGCTACAGCGATGACAGAAATAGCTCCGGCCACAATAGCTGCAGCTGCAGCCAAGGAAGTAACAGTGACTCCTTGGCCCCCTAGGACAGAAAACAGCAGCTCTTTTAGGGCAGATCTCACGTGCCTTGCAGAACCTGTGGTGCGACTGCCTTTGGAAAACTGTACGGTTCTGGTCACCTCACCTCAAAAAGGATATTATAGAGTTGAAAGAGGTTCAGAAAAGGGCAACCAAAATGACCAAGGGGACAGGGCGACTCCCCTGTGAGGAAAGGTTGCAGTGTTTGGGACTTTTTAGTTTAGAGGAAAGAAGAAGAAGAGTTTGGATTTGATATCCCGCCTTTCACTCCCTTTAAGGAGTCTCAAAGCGGCTAACATTCTCCTTTCCCTTCCTCCCCCACAACAAACACTCTGTGAGGTGAGTGGGGCTGAGAGACTTCAGAGAAGTGTGACTAGCCCAAGGTCACCCAGCAGCTGCATGTGGAGGAGCAGGGAATCAAACCCGGTTCCCCAGATTACGAGACTACAGCTCTTAACCACTACACCACACTGTGACATGACAGAAGTTTATAGAATTATGCATGTCATGAAGAGAGTGGATAGAGAAAAGGTCTTCTCTCATAACACTAGATCTCATGGGCATCCAATGAGGCTGAAGGTTGGAAGATTTGAGAATGATAAAAGTACTTAATCCATGCAGCACATAGTTAAACTACTTCCCACAGGCGGCAACGATAGTCACCAACCTAGATGGATTTAAAAGATTAGACAAATTCATGGAAGAGAGAGGGCTACTGGCGCCATGATGGCTCTGCCTGGCCTCCGCAGTTGGAGGCAGTAATGCTTCTGAATGCCAGTTCTGGAAACCGCAGGAGGGGAGAGGGCTCTTGGGCTCAGGTCCTGCTTGTGGTTTTCCCACAGGCATCTGGTTGGCCACTGTGAGAACAGGATGCTGGACTAGGTGGGACATTGGTCTGATCCAGTAGCCTCATCTAACCTTCTTAAAAGTGGGCAGAGCAACAAAAGTAAAAATCCCCTGTTTCTGTGCACACTAATGCATATATTTCTATCCTTCAGACAAGCAAAAGGCATCATCAGCGTTCAAGGGGAGACGTGTGGTGTGGGGAGAGTCTTGAGGGCTAGAAAGAGAAGCTGGGGGCCCCCAGGCCTACAGTTTACCACCCCTATGATGGAGGAAGACTCCAGGAATGACTCTTTTAGTTCCAAGTATAAGATTGCTCTGAGCAATCAAAGCAATGAGATAACGGAGAAACGCAGCTTGAATAAGGAGGCTGACATCTCCCAAACCCTTCCAGTTGGCTTCTCCCAGGGAGGAAATGAGGTCACAGGCTTTGCTAGACCTTCTGGCTTCCTCACAGCCTGGTCCCTCGACCCAACCTACCAATGCAGGTGGTGCCATCCTGAGACGGAATCAGGGAGCCCTGACAGGCACATCTGAAGCTCCCAGGAATGTTCACGCAAATCTGCAGAGAGGGGCAGGGATTCTCTTGGCTGTGCTCACATTCATCAATGTCTAAAATGACAAGAAGGGGGTGGGGGGCAAAGAGAAAGAAAGGAAATGCTTGGAGCAGTCCCTACAGCATGAATGAAGAAAATGAAACTCACGGGAAGAAAATGTCTAAAATTCCTCATTTCCTGACATACGACTAGCATCTCTGGAGCCTCCTTATTTGAGCCTCTCATCAAAGATAGACTTCTGTACTTAATAATAATAATTTATTGTGTGGCTCCCAACAGAATATTAAAAATGTGATAAAACATCAAAACTAAAAACTTCCCTAAACAGGGTTGCCTTCAGATGTCTAAAGTCAGATAGTTCTTTATTTCCTTGACATCTGATGGGAGGGTGTTCCACAGGGCGGGCGCTGCTACTGAGAAGGCCCTCTGCCTGGTTCCCTGTAACCTCACTTCTCACAGTGAGGGACCTGTCAGAAGGCCCTCGGAGCTGGACCTCAGTGTTCAGGCTGAATGATGGGGGTGGAGATGCTCCTTTTCACAGTTGCAGTGCTGGATTGACACACAAACTAAGTAAGCCACTGTTTAGGGCCTCGGATTACTAGGGGGCCTCTAAGCACACACAAAATACTAAATTTCAAGTTTCACATAATTGGCGAATAATAATAGAACAATACACTTTTAAAAAGCATTGCTATAGGGCCTCTTAAATGCAACAAGGCTTTGGGTCTCTTGATCTGGGCATGAATAGCAGTGTGACCTGGAGGAGTTGGATAGAGGTTTCCGTGACCACCACCAGAACACACAAGCGTCAGAGTTGCAAGCCAAGCATGTGTATGGAGACACTTGTAAGGCCAAGTCTTACAAGTGTATCCATACAGATTTGACAAGAAATCTGCCTGCAATGTATGTCACACATCTAGGTGGGAAGGGGATAGCAAAGCTGTAAATAAAAGTGGGAAAGGGGCGTGAGGTAAAAAGTGGCAAGGAGTGAGGCTGAAGAGGGGTGGCATCATTTTTATTTTTTTAAAAAGCATGACATACTTTATACATGAGTCCCCAAGGCTCTTCCTATGGTAGGTCTTACCTCGGCAAACAGGCAACACAGTGCTCCACTCTCTGTCCTCAACATTGCAGGTTATAGAGGAAGGACCCTCCCGAATGTAGCCAGGCCAGCACTCAAAGAACACTGAGGCTTTACACTGGACGTAGTGGGCGCCTTCAACCAGAGGGACCGGCCCACAAAGTGTGTCTGTGGAGAGAGAAGAAGAACACAGCAGAAGGACTTCCTAGGAAATGCACCAGTTTGAAAGATGCACTGTGCTGGAACCAATTCCCAGATACAGGCCTCTTAATGTTCCATGTTCCCAAATGGGAATGAGTGAATATTGTAGGAGGGGAGGAGAAGGGAAAAACAAAGAGAGGACTTCTTCTGGATAAGGAGGGCAGTGTGTGCATAGTTGGTTGTGAACACACAGAACACAACAGACAATGACTGCCTATGTGTGAAATTAACAATTTTTCAAAACCCAGCTTTCCCAAGTTACTGTTTACACAGGCACAGTGACAAATGTCTGGGCTGTGGCAGATGTATTACAAATTTATTACTAGCTTTATTATTAAGGTACTAACTGTAATAAATTTATATTTATTATCAGCACTTTTTTTCTGGGGGTACTCAAGTGTATGCAGTACTGGCACATTTATTTTTTTTGAAATGTTAAAAGTGTGGCACTTACTGTAACAACATGGTGATTACCACCCTTCCGTAAAAAAAAACCTACGGCAGTTTACATAAAGGAAAGCATGCAATATACCAGTATATATAAAAGTTATACACCCCCCTCCCATCCCTGAGGCTCCTGAAGGTGGCTGAGAACAGGCTTTCAAACCCTCTGTGAACTGTGTTGTGTGTTGTGGGCACTCCAGGTTCTACCTGCTGAATCTTCCCTCCATGCGGCCAGGTCCACCCTTGGAATCTGGGAGCTCTTGCAAGACACAAAGTCACTTGGGAAGTGACTGGTTGAGAAGACGTCTGCAGGGAGGTGGTGGAGGTGGGTGTTGTCGCAGAGGATCTGGAACAAAGTCACCTTTGCTAGCTCTTCCCTCTGGCGAGGGGTGAACACTCCTTCATTCTCCCACCAGAACCTGCAAAAGAAAAGAGGGCGGGGGGAGCAAAAGCCTGAATACCTTATCGGGCTGAATTCATTTATTTCCTGCAGTGCTTCCTGCTATTGAATGTAGCCAGAAGATAAGGAAATGTATAGGAAGGAAGGAATCTTTCCCTCACCCTGCACCCTGCCCCAAGTTTGAAATCGAGAAGTCAGTCATGTGGATTGTGTAGATGGCGTTAATGCCACAGTGAACAGTGAACCCTATTTGTGAACCCTATTTGTGGAATGGTCTGCCAGGATCAGGCAGCAAACCAGTCCAGCAAAAAACCCATTAACTCTAAGCATATATCCCACCCCTTTCACGATCTCCAGTCTAGTTTTGTACTTCTCACAGAGGGGGCTAAAGAGCTGTGTTTCGGGCTTGGCTGTACCATTTCAGACTGCGGGGGTGTTCATACAGCTGAATAATCATCCCACTACACTTAGTATAGTTAAAGCCATGGTTTTCCCAGTAGTGATGTATGGAAGTGAGAGCTGGACCATTAAGAAGGCTGATCACCGAAGAATTGATGCTTTTGAATTATGGTGCTGGAGGAGACTCTTGAGAGTCCCGTGGACTGCAAGAAGATAAATGCATCCATTCTTAAGGAAATTAGCCCTGAGTGCTCACTGGAAGGACAGATCGTGAAGCTGAGGCTCCAATACTTTGGCCACCTCATGAGAAGAGAAGACTCCCTGGAAAAGACCCTGATGTTGGGAAAGATGGAGGGCACAAGGAGAAGGGGACGACAGAGGACGAGATGGTTGGACAGTGTTCTCGAAGCTACCAACATGAGTTTGACCAAACTGCAGGAGGCAGTAGAAGACAGGAGTGCCTGGTGTGCTCTGGTCCTTGGGGTCATGAAGAGTCGGACACAACTAAATGACTAAACAACAAAGAACCCTTCATCCTTCTGCAGATTTTAAATTGTAAGCTCATTGAGGGTAAGGATCTATTTATTTTCTGTTTATGTAGGCTGAACTTTAACCCTGTACTACCTGCTGTGGTCCTGATATGGTTGGCTACCGCCCTCCCTGTGCTTGTTAATTTGCACTGAACATGTGGGGTGGGGGTGCATTATTCAGTGATTGCATCTTTCATTTGCTAGGAATAACTGAATCAGTCCGTTTCTGATCCATGTCACTTCCACATGTGTTCACCCATAAATCCTTTCTATTCCATTTCCTCATTATTCTGTGGCTTTTTGTAAATGAAAGCCCACTTCAAATTTGCAGTTAAATACACAACTGAGGATGCATTTCTAACTTATTTTGACCCTTATAGCTGACAACGGTGTCAAAACAACTGAGAAGCGCCACAGTAAGCAGATAACAAAGTTCTGACCTGCACGTTAGCCTGGGAGGTACAGATCAGGCAAGTTTCTATCTTGGAATTTGCAAAGACTACATTCCTCAAAGATTCCCTACCTGTCACCATCTCGCAGGGCCTGGAACTGCCTTCCCAGCAAGCAAGCAAGCAGTTCCCCCACTCGGGCACTAGGCAGGAGAGGTTCTGCGATGGCCCCAATCCAGACATCAATGTTCTCAGGAGTCCCATACAGCTTGAGTAGTTTGTGAGCCAGGTAGCTGCTGTTGAGGATATGCTGCAAGTCAGAGAAAGTGTGGGCCTCTGGGAGACCGCAGAACCTCCTCCAGGAGTTGTAACCTGCAGGGAGCACCAGAAAATGGCATTTGAAGAGAACATCAAGTGTTAGTTCTAGAGAGAGGTGCCCTCTGCTTCTGATGACCTCTCTCTCTCTTTTTCTCTCTCACCTGCCTCTACCCCTGCAGCAGTGTTACACACCTAGCAGTCCATGGTCCCGGCCTCTTTGCAGGTTCAGAGCTGCCAGGTCAAGGGACAGGGCCTTCTTGGGATGAAACAGCTTCTCTGTCAGCTCCTCTGGCATCATCTGAGTGGCTGTCTGGAGCTTTGCAAGGGTGAAGATCTCTCCACGTAGGATTGGATCGATCCCTCCTAAAGTTTGTGACAGAACTTCAAAGCCAGCGAAAACAAACCAGCATTCAGTCTTTATATCAAAGCTCTAGGGCAACTTCTCACACAATATTTGGCATTCTGAAGCAGATGATTCAATAGAAAGCACTGTTATTAATAATCCATGTGCACAGCCTTCTCAGCACCAGATACAACATGCAGGTGTTTTGAAGGCAAGGCATTCATGACGATCAGCTTAGCAGGGGCCCTTTTCATGTGTTGCACCCTGAAGCTCCTCCCCTTGTCTGTGTTACATTTGCCCCAGTTTCTAGGACAAGCAATGGCGATATGGGGTGGTGCCACAGGATGGCTGAAAGATGGCCTCCTCCCACAAGGCCCAGGGAGGCACAGAAACAAGCTGCACTCTACTGACACGACAAAGCACCGTAGGTTGAACCCTGTGGCTGACTATATTCACATAACTCAGAGGTGGAATGTCTATAAGCAGAAACCCTGGGGATTTTTAAGCCTAACATAAATGGTGCGCATTTCTTTCCAGCATCTCTGAATGTTGTAACCCTGCAAACAATTCTCTCTCGCTGCTCTCCACAGGACCATTCCTGGCCATATGTAAAGGATGCCACTCAGTCTCACATTCCCTCAAATTCCTCAACAACAGCAGAGGCTTAAAAAGAAAAAGTACAAACACTTTATTTAAATAACATATTGTTTCAGGCTGTTTTTAGAATGAATAAAGGTGGTAACCCTATGACAGCCTTGTCACTCCCTTACAAGATTCCTGTCACCAGAAGGATCTCAAGGCCCCCAAACGCATTGTGACAGGCTTCCCTAGGCCTGTTTTATCGCATACATTCAATGAAGTCTGCTATAGGCTCAAGCCACAATAAAAATATTAAGGTCCTACTGCAGGAACTTCTAGTTGATTTTGCTGCAACGGATTAATAAGGCAGCCACACTTCTGGAATTCAGACACTCAAAAACATGATTTACTCAGCACTGAGTACAATAGTTCTTAGATGAGGAATGGGGAACCACTGGTCCTCCAGATGTTGCTGGACTTCATCTCCCATCATCCCTGACCACTGGTCATGCTGGCTGTGGCTGATGAGAGTTGGGGAAACATCTGGAGGGCCACAGGTTTCCCACAGTTGCCCTAAACATTGCTTGTCTCTGGGGCAGATCTGGGTTCAATGGGACTAACACTGTGTAACTTGATAAATGATGTCACCAAAGACAACATGCCCTTTCCATCCGCTCCCATCTCATGTGTTGCCAGTTCTGTACCTTCCTCGATGATCCTCCATGGGGAGAAGAATGACTGATGAAGAGATATGCTGGGGTGATTGGGATTCTCCTCAAAGTTTTCATCCAGACGGGAGAGGAAAGGATTGATGGTGACGTGGGCAAAGCGAAATGCAGCTGTGGCAAAGACATTGGAGATACGGGGGTCAACAGACTCGTCGTAACCAGAGTATGGAGGAAGGTAGGCCTCAGTGGCTTCTGGGCCAAGGATCTTTGGGACATAATCCCTCCAGTTTATAATCTACATCAAGTGAACAAACATAAAAAGGAGAAATATACTTGAGTTCAGTGGGCTCTGTTCCCTAAACTTCTGTGAGCTCTGTTCCCTAAACAATTGGAATGTCTCTGAATATTCTGTGCCACCACACTGGGTCAGCCAAACTGGTGTCAGGTGCTTCATTGCTTATTAGGATAGCATAATATTGATGACCTTTTAAAAATGAATTTGTAAGAAACCATCTGGATTTATGAGAACAAAATTTGTAATAATGTCAGCATTTCTTCTCAGGGACATTCATATCTGGTGAAACTGTACCATGCCTCAGAGAAAACACTTGAATGGGATTTCCCTCCCTTTCCATCCCTTGCAGACGCTCTAGAAGGGAGCTTGAGTCCCAGGAGGGAGATCAGTGTTCTGCAAGTTAAAGGGTTTTTCTATTTCACTGCCAGCTGCACTTTGACCCTGGTGTTAGTTTTGCGGTTCTTGCATTTCTTCACAAGAGGCCTGGTAAGATTAGAGCGCCTCTTGTGCAAACATATCCGCCTGCATTAACATGGCTTGTTGAGTGTTTTCAGAATTACCAGCTCTTATCTGACATAAGAGCAGGTTCCGCAAAGCAAGCAAGGTGGAGCAGCGTGTGAGTGATTGGCAATAGCAGCGTATTCGGAGCCAAACTGTGACACAGAATGCAAAGCTGCTGTAGAAAACACCAGCTGCGTGTTTAGATCCCCTCCATCTTCCCCATAATATCTAGTAAAATTTAGTCATGTCCTGACATCACAGCAACCATGGTGCATGACATTGTAGAACCACAGAGTTGGAGGGAGGGGGCCTCATTATAGCCCAACCCTCCTAGTCCCCAAACACGACTGCCATTTTCCACGGCAGATATACACATACATACAACATGGATGTTTTATATAATCTGCCCCTCAATGGGAACTGTATCCAGCCCTCTGTTGAAGGAACTAAGGAACTAAGCAACGACATGCCTGAGGCCCTCACCTGGAGGTAGGCCCCAATGACTTTGCGAGTCTCCTGATACAGAATTTCCCCACTCCACTGGGGGTTGAGCTGGTGGAGGGTGGTAGCGATCCTGTTGCTCTCCCTCAGGAACACTGTGTGCAGGACTTGAATGCCTAAATGTTCATTGGACCGCGAGTCTCCTGGCAAGGAAGAGACCAATGCACACAGTAAATGAGATAGAAGTTACACAGCCTTTGGCAGGCTTTAAGCAGCCTGCAAAAAGCGGGGGGGGGGGGGGATGTTACATACATGTTTTGGGTGGCGATAGCCCTGTTTTAGTATTTTCACCATTCACTTCCATCAGTGGAGGTCCCACTGATGGAATTTTGGCTCCAAATGTTTTCCCCTGATACCTCGAGGTAGAAGCCACCCATCTCCCCAGTCCTTTTTCACCTTGTTCCCAGCATCCAACAGGACTGGCATCCTTCTGAAAACTCACCCACGAAGCTCCCATATATGGACCAAGCACACAAGTCAGTTAGGGAGGGGGAGAACCCTACAGCCTATAGGTGGTGCTATTGGACTTGTTAAACCACAAGTCAGACAAAGCAGATCCCATTACGGTAATCCTGAAAGGCCGAGCACACATTCAGGGGACTCCTGTACGAAGCTAGGAGACCCACTGCAAAGGAGAATTGGGCTCTAATTACTTTAACAGCTGCCCAGAAGAGGGCATTTTGGCATCTTGTCTTGCAGGGCTGAGCAGGGGCTGCCTGTGATAAAAAATCACCTCCGTTAACAAAACGAAAGTCCTCTCTTCCTTTTCATCTGGCCACACTGTTCAGCAGAGATGGCAGCCGTAAAAATAAAAAAAAAACCAACAGCAGAGATGGGAGCCTGTGGCATTCCAGATGTTGTTGAACTACAGCTCCCATGAATCCCCAGTCAGCATGGCCAACAGACAAATATGCTAGGAGTTGGAGTCCGTCCATGCCTGCAGGGCCACAGGTCCCCCACCCCAGATGTATTCTCAATAACAGAGAAGCCTTCCTCTTACCTGCCACAAAGCAGGGCACGTCAGACGCATTGGCAAGGCAGGAATCCCGCGTCAAGGCACAAGGGTTTGGGGATTTCTTCTCAGCAAAGGGCAGGAGCGGAAGGCCACCGTCAGAGAACTCCTGGTTGACTGCCAGAAGCCCCAGTGCCTGGGTGAAGTTGCGGAGCTTCCTGGCCAGCGAAGCCGTGCTGCCATAGATCATGCTGCCGTCCACAAAGGAGGTGAGGCTGTTCAGCTGCTCCCGGGGCTGCAGCTGCCCCAGAAGGAAGCTGGATTGTCCACTGCCACAAGCTGGTGAAGAGCGGATGAAAGGCATGCACTTCATTGTCCCCCCACCCAGACGGAGGTCGCCAGCAGGGATCTGGCACAGGAGAAGCAGAGTGGTCAAGAAGCCCTGGGTCTGATTGACAGGTGGCCAGGAAGAATGGAGAGCACACATTCTTTACTGAGTTTCCACAACTTCCCACACAGAATCAGAGTCTAAAGACAGAGGTGGTTCTCCCCCATGCCACACTGCGCCCCGAGACAGGGACATAGCTACAGAGTGACCCAGGGGAATCTGAGCACCCAAAATCTACTTCCCCTTCCCAGCCTTTAAAAACTATTCCTTCATTATTTATTTCCTAAACTTTGCCTTCTTGTTGAAAGACAGCAAGCTGAAATTGGCATCTCTGCATATGTATTAGCATATATAAATGATCTTAACTGGTGTGTACTCTGAGCTTTTTTAAAAAAGGACCTAGCAATGGATGGATTAATTTCAAAATGGTAGGCCTCATTTTTTTTTTTGCTTTCATGCTCAACGTGGCTGTAAAGTCACCTCCTGGAATGAATTACGTTGTATAGATTTCACTTCTGGTTTGGTATTTTAAAAAGCTCTGTAAGCAAGCCCTGTGGACCTGTCTGGATATGACAGTGGGGGAAAGTATTTGTGAATCCATGTACTTCTGAAACACTCTCATGTGGGTTGTGACATATATAAACCAGCTCTACTTCACATTTTGGTAAAAGGTAAAGGCGACAGTCCTTACTATTAGGAGGACTACGGTGAGTTTTCTTCTTCCTAAGTTTTTTGTTGTTCATCGCTGTCTTTACCTGAATGGGGAAGCACGGATTCCGGTTGATGCAACCATGGGAGCAGTCTGCTCCATCCGTGAAAGAAACGGTGCTGGCACTCTGGGGGGTGAGATCCATGTCGTGATCAATCCACTGGCCCCACTCCACCAGCATGTGGGTGTAGGAGCTGTCCAGGGAGATGTTCTCATTCCGTGTATGCAGGATTTCATGGGACACCTGGCGCACCTGGGAGAACAATTCATTTCAAATATGAACACTGTTGGTCTTTGTGAATAACGCAGTCTATTTTTCTACTTTGTGCGGAAACGCAGTCCAAACTAGTCATGCTTTTCATGGAAATTCTAAAAAGTTAAATTTCGAGTGCGTACTTTTTGACAGTATTACGAGACATGGAATTTGCAATTGCCATGGAGTGTGTAACTTGTCCAAGGGAAACTATGAACATGTCACGTGCTCCTCACTCCTTCATGCCTTCACAGATACACTTTCCAACATTTCTGTGTAAAGACCCAGTAATGTTGGCACGTCATGCAAACCAAAGGGTGCTTTTTTTTAACATCTTAACATTTATTTTAAAGCAAGCTAAGAAGGAAAGCTTTGGAGTTGTCTTATAAACCCTGTGTGAACTCTGCCATCACCATTCATAAGAGATTCCAAGTCTTGCCTGCTGCTGCATACCAAAGGCAATGAGAAGCCGTTATAAGTCTTGGATTGATTCCATCCTTTGGGTGCAGAGAAGCCATCCTCATAGTCTGCAGGTAACCAGCGGGCGTAGGCTGTGTTTGCTGCTCCCCAAAGTGGGTTCTTCCTGCAAGGGAGTATGAAATCTCATAAACTGCAGGAAATGGGCAGGTGGCATTGGGCTCACATAAGTAGAAGGTGGAGAGGGAAAACGGCTCCTGAATTATACTACTTGAGAGTGCAGATGAGGGAATCAGAGGACTGTATGGTCTTCCATATCCAAGACACTGGCTCATCGAAAGCAATAGATGTTAGGGAGAAAAAGATGTCAGCCTTTCCCTGGGTATGCCCATTCTGTATCTGCAAGTTTTTGTTTCAGTGGGAAAACTTCAACCAAGATATCCCCTACTCACCAGAGGATTTACCAAGTGGAAGCATTTTACTACCTCATCTGTGCAAACTAAAGAAGCACGGGGGACACTTTATTTGATACAGAGGATTTCCTAAATAACAGCAAACAGGCAGATTTCTGTGGTGTATTGATTCGTAGCCTAGGACACCCATGGGGGTCGTTTGTACTGTGTGTTGGGCAGAGGTTTGTGAGCAGATAATTTTTGTGTGGTTTTAAAACTTCGTTTATTATTAAAAAAGCAACATTCAGTATTGGTTTAGCACTGTATATAACCTTTATTTCAATATACTGCTATTTAGTTTTATGGAGGTATGATTGATGTTTATGTTATGTTATGATGTTTATGAAGGTATGATTCCTCACGAGTACGTGACTAAATATATATAAAAGATTACTAGCCATGTTCAAAATAAAGATGAAATTTTATGGAGGGTTGAAATTGTTAAAGGACAACTTTAAAAGGAAGGGCTGGGCTGAGGTTGGGTAGTTAAATAAAGATGGCAAAATATACAGATATAATTTGCTTCCATTTGGCAAAGGGACAATTCCCCACAGTTGGTGTTTTAAATTGTTATGAAACAAAAATAGATATGTTAAGGGTTCTGCTGGTGATATAATTGTTTTCTCTGCCTTTCCCCATTCTTCCTCCTCTACCTTTCTTGATTGTTTTATAGCATATGGCAGTATTTAGCTGATTCCAGCCTGGCTACCAGTTGCTCAGTTTGCTCTGTGTATGCTAGATGTGGGGCCTATGGATCAAAAACAAAATGATTCCTTTGGAGGTCTTCTGTGGATTTTGTGTTCAACTGCTGTATCTCATGTCTTACAGCAGTATTCACACAGGGTTGTTTAACTTCCCAGCAAACTTCATGCAAGCACGTCAGAATGAAAAAAAAGTTTTCTGGAATCACTCTCTCTGTATGAAAGATCTACCAAAGCGTTAATAAGATTCTTCTATGGGAAAGGAGGCCAGTACATACCGGCAGCCTCCCAGGTCTTTGCTGCCAAAATACTACCACAATTGTTATATGGATCCCAGATCTGCAGTTTTAAAAACCTTACTCTCCTAGAGGCATTTCAAACTAAGTTTTTCCGCTGCCTGCTGGGGATCCCCTCTTGCGTATCCAACATAGCAGTCCGTTTGGAGGTTGGGCAAATTCCGATCAGTACCCGGATATGGATATTGAAGATCCATTACTGGCTAAAGCTTATTTTCTTCCCGGTTGGGCTGGCACCTTTGACCTTATTGGATACCTACCAATCCAGATGGAAGGCTACACTGCTGGAAAAGCTTAAAGGCTTGGGGATCCCACAGCAGACCCTGATAGCCACAGGCTTCGAGAAAGCTAGGACCACAATTCGCCAGCGTATCTGGGATGTAGAATTACAACGCCACATGAGTGAAATGATCAAACATCCTGCAATAAGGGACTATGGGAGAGGATTTCTGCAGCTAACTATCTGTCAGGTCTCCAGGTACCTAAATACAGACGGTCTTTTACCCTCGCCAGATTCAACATTCTCCCTTCTGCCTTGCCCGGGGCAGATTTGAGGGTAAACCACACGCAGCGTGGGTCTGCCCCTGTGGCTCGTTGGAGGTTGAGACTGCTGCACATGTACTGTTGCGTTGTCGTTTTTATGAGGACATACGTTCGACTTTTATTGCTCCTGTTTTGCGGAAGTCCGGGAAGGAGTCGGAACACCATGGTTTGGAACCGCTGCTAGAGGACAAGAATCCCAAGACTACATTAAATGTAGCCAAATTCTGTGCGGCTGCAATTAGTCGCAGGAAGCAAGTGGTATCCCATGGTGACCAAACCCCCAAGTGTTGATAGCAGGGGGCATGCTAATAATTAATTTTAACTTTTTAATTAATAATAATTAATTTTAATTTTTTAATTAATAATAATTAATTTTAATTTTTTAATTAATAATAACTAATTTTAATTTTTTATATTTAAATGCTTGTTATACTTATATTGCCCTTTGTATTTTTTATATATATATTTTTATGATCTGTGATGTTGTGTGTGTTGGCGCTGGTCTGTGACCGTATTAATAAATTCATTCATTCACTCTCTCTGTATTTGCATACAAACAAGAATTACAAAAATAAAAATCAGGAATCCCCAGTATTCTGTTTTCAAAAGAAAAGGTGACTCTGTAAAAGTGCCCTGGGGGAACATCCTACTATCAGCAGAAAGTGGGGAGTGTGAAATCATCTCTATGATTTCCCCCACTACCTGCAAGACCTGTTGCAAAAAGGCACAGCTAAAAATAGCTGACTTTCTTCACAGTTTATGTTATTTATAAAAAAAATTATAGACTGCCCTGTCATATAGATCACCAGCAACAAAATACAGCAACATTTACAAGTACAATAAAACATAAAATGTCATAAAAACAACACAAAAGAATCATAAAAAAGACGGGCTCGTCCTGAAAAAAATGAAGCAACCGAAGAGGCCTCCTGGCTTAAAAAGGTCTTCAGGAGTTACTGGAAATTAGTAGCAGGTCAAAGGGTATTTTGAAGAGTGCAATTTTGCATTAAATAATATGGCCAGTGCTTTTGCAGGTTGCAGGCCTGAGGACTGGGCCAGCAGAATTACCTGTTGTTGCACGTCCCATCTATGGATCTGTACTTTTCAGTCAAACAGGTGTCTGAGCACTTGATGGGCCGCAGCTGAGCAGCACAGCCAGTTACTTCTGCCAAGGTGGAGAGATCATGGCCGCTTAAGACTCCTTGCAGAAGAAAGGGGAGAAAGAAGATTCTCAAGAAGGTTAGGAGGTGAAGACTGGTACTTCTCGGGCTGGGTGGTGGATGCAAGACACACCTGACATGTTGGCATAACGCTTCTCCCGCGTGTACACAAGCTGCCGAATGAGCTCCACTGTTGTGTCCATCAGCTCAGCCGCATGAACCGCCGCGTTGGTCTCTGCCTCGGGGTGCTTGAACAGGCTCAGCAGGTCGCTGGCACTGAGGGATCCCTTGGTCAGCACTGCTTTCCCTCTAGGATTTCACAGAATGAGGCATGGCTGAACGAAGAAGACCAGAAACCCCCACAAGGCCTGGGGTGTAGGCACAGCGGGCAGGAGCAGAGAGCATGACAAGGAGGGAAAGAAAGGTGCTCTCTACCACCTGCCTCACCTGGAAATTCATACCTGCTTCTAGAGCGCTGATACGCCAAGGAGACCAGCTGCTTTGCCTGTGCCAGGGCCTCTTTCACCAATGGTCTTTCAAGTTTGCTGTCATTTTCTGAGTGAGGGAAAATAGTAGTCCCAGAATGAAAAGAAGTACAAGGGTCCACATTGATTTCCATGGCCCAGTACAAACCTATTTGTTTCTAGGCCCAAATCAAGGTGCTTATGATTACGTTTAAAGCCCTTAATGGCCAGGGGTCAGGATACCTGAAGAGCTGCTTTCTTCCATATGCCTCTGCCCAGCTTAAGAGATCATCTCATGAACCTCTCCTTTGTATCCCATCCCAAACTGAAGTGCGACTGGTGAGTTTGCAGACTGCTTCTTCTCTCACCATTTTCAGATGACTACTGAAAAAAACTTTATTATTCCACTGAGCTTTTAACAATTACTTGAGCCTCTCAATCCCAATGGATTTTAACCATCTGCATTTGACCTTTTGTTCACATCTGAGCTCTGGGAGCGTTTGACTGGTACCCATTCCTGATTTCTGCTTTTTGGGACTGGTCTTAAAAAATGGAAAGGATTTTATTTGCCAGTTTTGTAATTTTGCTTCTGACGGCTTTACAGTATACTGAAAACTATAACCGATTAGAGCTGAAAGTGCACAGTGTAGGTTACCTGCATGGACCAGATTGGCATGAGTGCTGAATAGGGATATAACCACAATTGGCACAAGTCCAGGGAGCATCACTTGGGTTGGAAAAGCCGCCACAGAGTGCTGAGGATTGAACACATACACGGATTAGTAATTGCTACAGTGCTGTGAATAAATTATCAGCAACCCCCTTTCAGATAAAATTGGTGTTTATGTAGATGATTTTAAACTTAAACATTATACATACATGGAAATAAGTAAGTAAAAATCAATATATGTCATCGAAAGATCCACATGCAGGTGTATAGCCTCCAGTGTGCTCTCACTGCTGTGTACAAAAAACATGGGCGGCCACAATCCATACATGTCTACCCTACTGTTTCTTATGAAATATTTCATTTCGATGCATTTCTGTCCCAAACTAGCTTCAATCTGAACTGCACAAAATAGTTTTAAGCCAATAATGTGCTCACACAGTCTAAGGACAGAAATTGATCTCTGCAATCAGTAGGCTTTCTGCCTAAGAGCACTCTGGGAAAAAGTTTGTTAGCAGCTGGCAAGTGATATGCCTTATTCTCAGCAGGGGATCGGAGAAAAGATGAGCAGCCTGACCCTCCTTCTGCCTCCCAGCTCCACCCTCCAGAGAGGAAGAAGGGATCCGATTAGAGAAAGGAAATATGGCGAGATCCCTGCCTGCTGCTTTAAATGTATGGTTGTGTGCGCAGCCTGCCTGAACTGCTTGTGCCCCTGCTTTTCTTTCCCTGTAACCTTTCCATATCCATTTGTGGTCCTGGTTTCACTCCCTGTAACAGTTTTCTTATCTGTTCTCTCCTGTGTAATTTGCTAGGTCAGATTGCGTTAAGGAGAGTGGATTCAGAGATCTGCACACATCACTCTTTGAAGTGCAAGGCCATCTGATTTTGATGGAATAGATTTCATTGCATCACCCTTACGAAGTTGCCCAAATATCCAGCCCTTTATCAGTGACGGTCCCTGTCATCACCTGCTTTCAGTTGAAAAAGAAGAGATTAGCAGGTGAGCTGAGGAAGCAAAATCAGCTGTTGGGGCAAAGGCAACAGGAGGGCTATGTGTCCATTAGCCACTATCAGAAAGGGTTCCTATTTGCTTGAGACATATGATAATCTTTATATAACATTCATCGCAGACAGGTTTCCCAAAGAACAGGCAGTAAATGGCAGTCAGTCAACCTATTTATTCTCCTAGAAGCCTGGTTTATTAGTGGGAATTAAGGTTGCCAAGTGACCCAACAAAAAAAACCCCAGTTAGGCCTCCTGCTCTTGTGCCTTTAGAGAGGAATGTCAGCTCCAGAAATCAGCAGCTGAACACAGCACAGAGAAGCATTATTCACCCGCCGGCGTGTGCAGATCAAACCACTGCTGAAAGCACAGAAGCAGTTTAAAAAGTTAGCAGCACTAGTAGGAATAATTAATTAAGCACATATGGAAATTAGGGTACTGCATTTTATTTTATTTTATATTTTTAATGACCTTGTCTTGAAACTTGCAATTTAATAAGCAGCACCCAAAGAATGTTACACCTTCCATGTAGGCAGGATACAGATTGCACACGCAGAAGCTATGCATGAGCTAAGAAAAGAAAGGGAATAATATTTTTTTTAAAGCGCACCCACAATTCCAGCAGGAGAGGAGGAAGAAACAGAAATACCAGGATACAGAGAAAGAAGGAACAGAAGGCAGAATGAGAAACTTTAGCTAAATAAAGACTGAGATAGTGCACAGATAATGAGGTGTCCAAGTGATGTCACATCCACCCCACACATTTAAAGCACATAGCTTAGCTGCAATTCCCAGCATCCTTTAACAAACTACAGTTCCCAGGATTCCTTTGGGGAGAAGCCATGCGTATTAAATGTAACAAAGAGGACAGGGCTCTTGCACCCTCCCCACTTGTGCAGCAGAAGGCATTTCAGCATGGCAAGCTACACCTGCTACTATTCCCGCTTCTGCACAACTATTAAAGTTGTCCTCGTACTGGCCACTTTACTTTTGGTGACCTTACCCAAAGGAAACAAACAGCAGACATGCAGGAAGGCTGTGAGAGGCTGAAGGTGAAAGATCAGGGGCAGAAAAATACAAATGAATGTCCTTAACCAAGAAGCAATATAATCTATACCAAAAGAACAAATAAAAGGACCATGAACTGAGTAATCTGGGCTGGATTGGTATTATATGCAATGCTGACAAAATACAGATCAGGCTGGTGGGGAAGGGAGGATACAAAAAAAGCAGCCTTTAAAGAACCGCACAGGCAGAAATTCAAAAGGTACAGCTTTCCCCAACACACAGAGCAGATCCACCCAATTATTTCCACCTCTGCCCCTGTCCAGCTGGCCCATGTGTGGAGAGGTGTACACCAGTGTGTATACAATTTTGTGGCACACAGTGATCATAACTTCTGCACAGAAGCAGACCCAGGGGCACCTCAACATGCATTGACATCTGTATCTTCCGTTTTTGCAGCGCACGGACTGCCCACACTTAGGAGCCTATGTGAGCTGAAATGTACACATGTGCAGCTTTCTTTGCAGAAGTCCCAACCAAACTGCACCCTGCAAAAATTGAGAGTACAAATGGTTGGTTGAGAGTGTTTAGTCCCTAGAAGTAAGGATCAATGCACAGAGGTCAGAGATGAAGCCAGCAGATCCCACCCCAATTTCCCCTCCAAGCATAAATATTTAGATTATTAGCACACACTATTGCATCCATGGAAAGGAGGCATAATTTCTGCACATAACAAATGTGGGTGCTCTCACCCTATAGTTAGTCAGGCTTCTGGGGGGCCACCTCAATGAAGCCCCTGGACTTACCACTGCTTGGTGTCCTATCGTCCATATGTCCCCCAAAGCCCCCCAAAGGCCTTGCAAGGTTTGAGTCTTTTCTACAGCTGCCTTCCTTTTATTTGCTGGCTTCTAAGGAGGCATTTCCAGAATGTTATTATCACCTTGCCAGAACAAAGCCCTTTCAAGGTAACTTCAAAGAAACCTAATTAGTTTTACAGAGCATGAGGATATTTTATCTTCTTGATATGGTCTGCTCTCTCTCTCTCTCTCTCTCTCTCTCTCTCTCTCTGGAAAACAAAGATCATCTCTTTGGATATAGGATAAAACAATTCAAGTTAAAACAGGAGGTCCAGAAAACAGCTTCATATTTGGAAAATGTCGAACACTTTTTAACACAGTTGCAGTGATCAAATGGAAGAGGACCTCTGTGCATCCAATGCTATTTTTGCAGTGCCCTTAGTCAGCCAGCAGGGGGAGCTTTAGCCAACACAAAGGCAAACAATTACAGTGGTACCTCGGGTTAAGAACTTAATTCGTTCTGGAGGTCCGTTCTTAACCTGAAACTGTTCTTAACCCGAGGTACCACTTTAGCTAATGGGGCCTCGCGCTGCCGCCGTGCGATTTCTGTTCTCATCCTGAAGCCAAGTTCTTTACCCGAGGTACTATTTCTGGGTTAGCGGAGCCTGTAACCTGAAGCGTATGTAACCTGAGGTACCACTGTATTGTTTCCTAAATACATTAGGTCTCATCCTTAAGTAATGGATGACAACAGAGGATTGCACACACTCAGGTTCTGCTTCCAAATTTCCCATAGGCATCCAGATGGCCACTGTGAGAACAGGATGCTGGCTTCTGGTCTTATCCAGGAGAGCTTTTTAATGTTCTTATATAGCTTAGTGCCTCCAGCATAACTCCCCCCAGCTGCCCAGGCCATACAGTGACACCCCAGAGGGCTCCAAAATTGGCACTAGGCAGTTCTTGCACTTAATAATGCTAAGCAGAAATTGGTTTTTATGCTACAAGAATCTGAGGTGCAGCCTGGCTAGGAGTGGAGATCAGAAATATGCCAACTGGGGTTCTGGAAAATTCAGAAACGGGAATAACGTTTGCAACACAGTGCTCAGTTCGAGAAGATACCTCAGAGGAAAGCCTCGAAGCCAAAAGATTGGGTGATTATTTACAAGTGTGGACAGCTCCGTGAGCACGTTTGAAAGATAATGCAAGCCCAAAATATGTGGACTGGATCCAGATTAAAGGTTAAAGGCCCATTGGCACATCTTTCTCAAGCAGGAAGCCAAACACGGGTATTATGCTCAGATGAATTGCTCCACTCTTTCCCCAAACCAATTTTTTTTCCTTGCAAAACTATTCAGCAGGCATCTTCATCTGCTCCAGTTCCTGATGCTGCAGTGATATTAGTGGGCAGGGCGGTTTTGCAGACAGCCTTAGCTCAAGGCACTGGGGGCTAGTGTGGGAGCTAAAATGGTCTCATGCAAAAGAAGGCATGGTTCCTGTCGCCTACAGCCTCTAATATCAGAGCAGAGGGCTCTCGGTAGCTCCACTATCCTTAGACTTTTTTGTGGGGTAAAGGTAAAGGTACCCCTGCCCATACGGGCCAGTCGTGTCCGACTCTGGGGTTGCGTGCTCATGTTGCTTAAGAGGCCGGGAGCCAGCGCTGTCCGAAGACACTTCCGGGTCACGTGGCCAGCGTGATGAAGCTGCTCTGGCGAGCCAGCACCAGCGCAGCGCACGGAAACGCCGTTTACCTTCCCGCTATACAGTGGTACCTATTTATCTACTTGCACTTGGGGGTGCTTTCGAACTGCTAGGTGGGCAGGAGCTGGGACCGAACGACGGGAGCTCACCCCGCCGCGGGGATTCGAACC